TTTGGCAGATTAACTAAAGGTGTGCGGCTGCTGCGGTGGGGAAAGATGAGGCTGAACTTACAATGGGGTTTAATGGAGACATGTTGAAAGTTGTTGTCACTTCATGCCCTCAAAAGGCATTTTGTTTAATTATTTTTGCTTAATTTTTTATATTTTTCAAGCTACGAGATGTTTTCCTACGTTTCTCATGAAAAATGATGTAGGGTTTGGGAATTATGGCAGGTTTAAAAGAAAATATGAAGGCAAACTAAATCTGTCCTCCACTCTAGCTGTGACATCACGCACTCTAAAATCTGAAGAAGGCCTCTTTACCAAGGTCTGAACAATGTTTAATATCTCTAAAAGTATGAATCAGATTTTAAAGTTGTGTTACACGAATAATGTCAGAAAGATGTGTAACATTTTAAAGTTGGAATGAGGTTTCTGAGTGAAAGTATGAAGGAACAGTTAGCAGTTGAAGTCGCATGAAGACTTTTCAAGTCTGAAGAGTTTCTCCATTGACTTCCATGTTGAAAATGTGATGAATTATGGGATATATCTCTGGAATTATGAAAGTTATGAATGAGAAAAGTAATAGCCATCGATTCCCGACCGAGATGAACGTTTTGATGTTAGAACGGAGTTTCTGCGATGTGGAATGTGGGAGCATAAGAGGCGCAAAATAACCCGGCGGAATAATAAAAAAGAATTTTGTGCGTAGAAGAACAAGTAGTTGGAATGCTGTATCAGCATTCCCACAAAATTAGGCGTTAACTAGGCCTAATTAAAATGCGCTAATTTGCATGCAGTTACCAAGGCATTGCAGGTGAAAAGGCTAAAACTAAAAAACTAAAAAGCGTATTTATATAGCAGTTACTTACGTCAAGTCAGTATTTTCCCCTGAAATGTTATGTTTAAATATGCAGATTAGCTTTAAATCTATAGATGAATTCCGACATGGTAGTAAAACGAACACCATTTATATGTGTTTTTGGAAGTTTTCTTTCCATTAGAGTGAAAGAAAAGAGAGTGAAAGAGACCAAAATACCAAAAAGTACATGAAAAAAACATATAATGTCCTTAAACAGTAACTTCATAATTTAGATGGTTGGCTGCTCATTTAATAACTATTAAGTGTACTAGTTTGTTGTCTGCTGTGTGAGGGTATTAAAATAAATTGGTCAGTAAGTCAGTGATGTGCAACTATAATGAACTTTTTTTTTTAAACATTTTTTTATAAATGACTATGGGAAGTGCCCTTTTTCTCACTAGAGCTCCTGCCCCCCAAAATGTCTGTGCACGTCCCTGCTCCTAAGGCCTTCTAGAAGTTAACTCGAAGAAAGCTACAGGTGTGTCCATTTAAACGCAACATTTTTCTCAGATAGCAACACAGCAGCAAAACACACCCAAAATCTATATTTTATCAATTCACAGGCCGTAGATACTTCAATATCAATTATCTTAAAAGAACACTATTTTATTTATGGAAATTAAAGTAAAAATACTGTTGAGCTGCAGTATAAATGAGGAGCCTCTTATTGACAGCATGGTTTGTTAAGGTGTCTTCTTAAGGAAAGCACTACATAAATATAGTTGTTAGTAATGTTTTCGAGCTGTGTCTTTGTTAAATCACGAAATACTGAATGTGTTAAGAGGTTTTTCAATTATTAAAAGCGGAAAACTGAGAGGAATAAAGCCAGCCTGACTCACCAGGGAGGAGCTGCACTTCATGCCGACATCCGGAGGCCTGTCCCGGGCCCCGGGGTCGGTGTCTGCTCTTCCTCGGTGGAACTTCCTGGAAGTGTTTAAGGCTCGACGACATGAAGTTGAAACCTTCTTCTGTTGGGATTCTCCGGTGGTACTCAAGGAAACAGTTGATCATTATTGTCTTTCTTAACTTTTAAATGTAATAAAATCACTTTTAAATGACAGTTTTGTGTCCTTGTTTCTGTGTCTCCCTCGCGAGGTCCAGCAGGTGATTTAATTAACAGCAGACACTAAGTTGCGTTCAATAACTCCTCTGTAAATCCGCATTTTACGAAGATACGCAGAATCCTTCATTTTTCTTTCAGAAAATAAAATGTTGACACGATTTTTGTTTATTTATGTGCACATACGTGTAGCCTTTAAAAAATACAGTAAGTATTTAATTAAAAAAAGTTTGAACATTGTGCAGGAGAGGTACATTTACCTCTTCTGTCAGATGTCAAAATAAAGTAAAATATTAGTGAGTTTACTTGGACTACAAATCACATGTAATACTTTTCTGACAGCGTTTGAATGCACCCAAACAGACAGACCATGAAGCAATACAATCATCATTTAAATTGGCAATTTTAAAGTGAACACAATTATTGTTACTGTGGAAGACAGTCAACTCTGTGAGGTGCCGAGTGAGGGCAGGTGGAGTTTTATGAGGAAGGGAAGGACTGAGATGAGTGGAAAACGTGAAAAAAATGATTGTGATGATGAAGGATGTGAGTAGAGACAGATAGTGTGTGAGAAAAGAGAAATGAGAAAGAGGAGTGTGACTGTGAGCTCAGTTGAGAGCCCGTAATGAAGCCGGGCAGCTGCAGAGGAGGGGCCATCACTGATGGGTAGTGAAGGACACACACACACACACACACACACACACACACACACACACACACACACACACACACACACACACACACACACACACACACACACACACACAGAGAAGCAGACAGCTGAGATTTAAACAACACCATGATAGACAGGCCATGCAGTTGAGGAGCAGAGTTCATTGTCAGGACTGAATTCATTGCAGGTTGTGCATTATGCCTTTCCTGCAGTGAACATTGCACATTTAATTTCCCTGTCTGAGACTGACATTTTTAAAAATCATTATGCCTTCATAATTGTATTTGTGAATTGTCTTCCTACAAGTAGCAACACATAGTGTATTCGATGCGACTGAGTGGGTGCAAAAATCATAAACTACAGTATCTAGTTTTCCATTACACGGTTGCCATTATTTGAGCATAAGAGTTTTGTTTTCAGATATGCACGTCTTTTTTTGAATAACTTATTTTGGATATTTCAATATGGTGACAAGGAAAACAAGTTTCCTCTGTCTTTTTTAATCCAATGTTTAACGAGGTACACGCTCCACCTGCGTTAATGGAAATACTTGCATTCACAGAAATGTGTCATAGAGGCTAACTGAGATACAGAGTGAAACTAATAATCAACATATTCAAATACATTTGCAGACAGGGCCTGACAATGAAGTAAAATAAGGATAAAGTGTGTTTTGCTACTACTTAAAGCCAAAGGAAAGATTGAAAACACTCTTTGTTCATAAAGGCCATCCGTGGTATATTTCAATACAATCATTTAATGTGGTTTGATTCATTTTAATTAAGAAAAAAAGCACAGGATTATAATAACTGCATGACCACATTTTGGGGATGTTCCATAGTCAGGGTTTAAAAATGGAAGCTGCATTACGTAAAAGTAACAGCAGGTGGCAGCAAATCACTTAATTTCTATATTTCCCAGTATGTGTAAATACAGTGATGTGCATTTTTATTTTTTAGTGAAGACAGCAAGGTTTATCATGAGACCAGGTTATCTCTTGATAAATATTAAAGATGATCAGCGTTGTATTCTTAACTTTGTGAAAAATATATCATTGGTCAACACAAAAATATGGTTAAATAAAATTGTTTATTTAACAATTATTAATCAATAAAAATAAAATAAAATGTTACAAAAAATCTTTACAAATCATGGCTCCACTTTAATCTTATCCTGACATAGAAAAATACAAAAGGCACTGTGCATTAGAGTCTGCTGCATATAGAAAACATTTCGAACAAAATATAGTCTACCACTCAGATTTACAACATGTTATTATTAATAACCCCCCTTCAAAAAACAAACACCTCATCCATCTCGAGATGAGAATTTCCCATGTCAATGTCCGACCAGTGCAGACTCGCTGCTAATAGGAGTATCTTTTAAGAAACACGACTGAAAATCAAACAACTGATTAGTCTAAAGACAAAGAAATAAAGCTTGTAACTGTACTGGAGTGTAAGAAGAAACATAAGATAAATACAGTTCAAAGACACAAAACACAATAAGGGATGTGTGGATGTGCATATGAGGAGAGTTACTGTACCACAAACTTTTCAACCAATAAGCAATCAGTTAACCCAGAAACGTCAAGTCCCTGAACACCACACAGGTGTGCAGAGATATGTTGGTTTATTAAACCTCCTCTGGTTGAACATTAAGGAAAATATGGATTCACATGTATTCTCGGGATCCATTTTTAGGTCGTGCCAAAACAGTGTTCTTCAGCATACACTGAGAGGGGGGTATTAATGTCAAACTAGAGCAGATAAACCAAAACACTGAAATGTGACTTGTTAAATAAACACATGAAAGATTCCTTAGAGTGAGGGGAAGGAGAACTGCAAGAAATATTTCTTAGTGTAAAATAAATCTTGTGTGGTAAAGTGGCTTTTTTGTGACACATTCTCTACAAACCAAACCCTCCAATCATTATTCTCTGTACCTTTATGGTGCTATATACTGTGCAAATTCACTTTTCATTTAAAGCTTTGAGTAGTTTTTACCAAAAAAGCAACTTTTAAGGACACATGCCATTCTTTTACAATCTCTTTGGCATCCAGCTTCAAGTCCTGCTTTCTGTCGGGAGGAGTCACACTTTGGAGCAGTCGTAGTGCAGAACATTTCCTCTAGGCTTCCAGTCTCTGAATCAAACAAGTCCATTGATGATTCTCTTCTAAAATCATAAGAAGCCATGCTCGTCCAGTCCTTTAGGAGTGATGGGGTTCCACTTTGCAGTCTTCTTTGTGGTGGAATAGCCTGCAGGACAAAAAAAAACACTGAATTAATGCCAGAGAAAAAGTTACGCAATTTGTATGAATGGTAGTGGTAAAATGATATGTATTAATGCACTATATTCTTTCATTAAGGCTTAAGCCAACACCAGGAAAGGCCACGACACTAACACTGTTTATTTCTTATTTATGCAAGTTAACATGTTTTCATCTTCCAGAAAATGGAAGTTAACACATTTTGTTGTATTTTATTAGTTGCAAATAGTAATAAAAGTATATCTATGCTTAAGCCATTTGCTGATGAATACAAATAAAATAATGTAATCGTGTAATCCCTTCCCCTACTTCTTTTGTTTTTTTGTGTGAGCCTTGTCTTGGTAAATATATAATAAAATCCATATGAGAATAAAGGTTCAAAAGAAACGATATACCTGCTCCCTAAATATTATCATCAGCCATAAAGGTGGAGCATTAATAAACAGCATGAGTAACATGACTAATGCTCATGGTACCTGAGTCTCTGCTCCTGGAGCTCTCTGCAGGCTGAGGCTCGGGCAGGGGGAGTCTCCCCTCAGCGTCACTCTCCCCTGACGACGTGTGCTCCTCCGCCTTCACGTGCACGGCAGTCTTCTTGTGGTATTTGGCTCGGTAGGTGTCCGTCATACAGCTGTCCACGGTGAAGTAGGTGGTGGGCAGAGCCATGTCGGTCACACTGGGGAAGTCCGTACCGTCATCGTGCCCGGGCTTCGGACTCGGGAACCTCTCCTCGCTCTCGCTGGCCGAAAACTCGTTCCTGTCCTGATCTGATGACCCCGACTTGGAGCTAGCGTCTGACGAGAGCCGGTGCTCCGCAGGAGTCTCAATCCACCTCCGCAGGGTGGTGTGTGAGAGCGCAGACGAGCCGTTTCTAGGCTCTCGTATCGGCAGCTCCGGCGGGTGGGAGTAACCGCTGCCAAAGTTCTTGGGGGGTAAAGGTGGGGGGTAGTGGTGTGCGAAAGGTTCCGAGTGGGCGACAGTGTCTTCGTGTTCAGAGAAAGGTCCAGCGAGGTCGTCTGAGCTGTTCCACTCGGAGCTGCTCGTCTTGGCTAAGTACCTAGACCCCGGGCTCACGGGACTGCTGTCCACGTTCTCCTCATGCTCCTCGTGCTCGCTGTCCACACCGTTGACCTTCTCGAAGATCCCTGGAGTGTATCTGAAGGCTCTTCTTCTGTTCCAGAGCAGAAACACAAACCACAATCAGAACCAGGTTTAGTTTCAAGTAGGAAAGTTACATAAACACAATAAGTTGGAAGGACCCAGCATGGCATACTTTGAGATGCTGACCAGTGAAAAAACGTTTTATTCTTGCACTTAATATATATATTAAAACCCTCTCAATGTCTACTTTCAAAGAACTTCCATACCACCTCAAAAAGACAAACTTTCAATTATTTTAAGGAATAGTTCAAACCATGTTTTTACTATATTTTGCTCACCTTTGTATTGGTTTTCCAGAGAGGCTGTCTGTATCATGTAGATCTGGAGATTGTCTTCCGTTCTCACCTGGAGAAAAATAAATCCATGAGCATTTTATATGACAACATTTGTAAAGTCATGGTCATCACTAGCAGTCAAAAAATATCACATCTGTCTTGGATTTCTATTCGAACACAGCTACAGTATTTTCCCTGTGTCTCTGCAGCATGTTATCTAACCGAGGTCATGGTGAGAGGAAGCATCAAAGCAGTGAGTCTGGCAGAGCACCCTCGGGTCCCGAGTGTACCACTGACTGATACAGCTAAAGAACGGGGCCCTCATAGGCAGAGTGAAACAGTAAGCACCCTGAATGAACTCCAGCAGGTTCACAAACTCATGGAAGCAAGGAGATCTCCCAATGTGGTGTCAATATGCGCTGCAATATTTGGAGATTATAGCACGTGTGGTGTAGCACAGGTGTGGGCTGGTTTGGAGCTTAGCCACGTTAGCAGGGTGGGTGTGAATTACAAGAGACAGACAACAGCTGGGTAACAGGACGAGGAAGAGAGTGAGCACCATCTGCGATGTGTCAGCAGACCCTCCTCTCCCCCCCCCCGTGCTCTCTCAAAGCATTAGCGGCTAAATCCTTTGTGCTGGCATGCAATTACGCCGGGGTCAGACTGCAGACTCCAGATCCCCTACCCAACACTGTTGCATGTTTAAGCCCGCTAAGTCCATGTGGCAATTCACAATTTGATGACGCTGATCTGCAATGTTGGCAAGCGACGGCAACAATATCTTCTCGCAAAACGGGGAAAAAAAGATGCAGTTTACAATGCTTTCTCTCTCTGAGATCCCCTCATCTTTACGGTCAGACTGTTGCCAGGAGAAAGCTTGAAGGCGAAAGCAGCTGGAAACCAAAAAAGGGCAACAAGGCTGTGTTGTTGTCGCTGTCCGTCCGCTGTGGTTAAAATCAAAAGAGTTTTCGGAAAACAGCTATCAAATAATTGCTGAAGACCACCAGACTTATCCCACAGACAAGAGTGTTGATCTCCTGAGCTCACCATTGCATGTGTCTGTTTTCTTCAAAATAAAAACATTTGTATATACACAATTGAAGTATTTTATCAACAGCACAGTATTTAATTGTACATGCACCATTATATCACTTCAACCTCCTTATTTCTTTGTGTTTTCTACGTTGCCCGGCACTAGCTTTTGTGCATATAAAAATAAAACCTTTGAATTTATAATCCCATTTGAATTTTATGTAAATTCCTCAGGTTCAGGGTCTGGCTGGTCTCCAGAAAACATTCACTTCGGTGGAGTTCTGGGATCACTGCTGTATCTGCAGAGCCAGAGAAACAGATGTAGCGAAGGTGTCCAGCTGTTTACATGGCCTACTGCACTGCATGGATTAAGCTGTAGCTCAGTGGCATTCAATGCGCCATCCCAAACTGGTGTACATTAACATTTCTCCTGGTATTTCCACGTTAACTGGAAAGCATGAAGTCAAGTTGCTAAAAAGGATTAAAGAATGTGATGCTGTCTAACATGCATACATGTTTTTAGTTTTTGCAGTAAAGTGAAATAGGCACCTTTCTGCAGTTTTCCACTAAAAGGACATTTAACTAAGGGAGTTTTCCAACATACCATCTGCCCGAGTGTGAAACTCCCAGAGAAAATAGAAACATGTCCTCAATACAAATCAAGACATGCAAAACAGTTCTGACAGCCCTTTGAAGTTTTGTTGATGTAGGATGTTTGTTGACAATAAACTAAAAACTAATTTCACGTTTTTGGGGTTGTCGAGTTGAGATTTTAAGTTCTGCTGTCTGCGGTTCTTCAAATTCCTGAACATCAGTCAGACTCGCATGCATATTTGCAGTTCAGCTTTTCATTAGACCCAAACTATGTGGGGAGGGGAAATAAAAACTGTATCTGTCCGTGGCCTAACTCCAAAAAGTCATCACATGTAATTACAAATAATTTAGCATAGCCTTTGTTTATGGGCCAAGAGGAAGATTAAGCCACAATGAAAATATGAACTCTATTCTATGGCATTTACACATTACTGCTGAGGAACATTAAATCCTCAACACATTAACTAATAGATACAGTCACTCCAGAAAATGTAAATCCAAATACCAGAGTAACACTTGGGTCACCAGGAGAATAATACAAAAAAAAGGATAAGATGCACTGGGGGAAACATTATAAATAAATAAAATAAGTTATTACAAAAATACCAGTTGAAAATACTTAATTCGTCATATGAAAAGAAATGCATCTCACAGGAGGACCATTAAATATGTTGTAAACCTCCAAACTTTTCACCATCTCTAAATATATTTTGTTTCTAATTCTCATGGTTGTTCTCCCAGTCCATCATTTTTTTTTTTTACAAGTTCCTTACATTTGAATTTATGAAGTTATCATCTTTAGTCCAATTTCCGGTAATTTGTAAAGAAGTGGGAATTTTTCTTTTGGACCATTGAGGGAAATCTGAAAATATTTGACAGCTCTCTTACTGTTTTTTTTTTCCAGAAGCTAATTCTACCAGCATCTTGAAGTTCATTGTGTGTACCTACTGTGAATTTAGGGATTCCTAAAATATATAAATTGTATTTTACCACGTGTATTATTTCCAATGTTTTGAGTTAGGTATTTCAAGCACGATTGTATAAGGTCAATTTTCTCATGTATATTTTCCATTATAGCTTCTCAATTAAGTTTCTATGTCTCAAAAAGTTCTTAAGGACAAGTTGAGAAAATGTGTTACTCTCAACATACAGTACTGTATCGCAGGTTGAAGCGTTCCCATGACTTGACAGCAGCGACCTTTCATGCTGTTTTAGACAAAATGCTACACCGTGTGAATTTCAGTATAAAGCAACGGGATGAGATTTATCCACGACACAAACAGGTTGTGATTAAGGTGAAAAGCAGGCCCCCAAACATGGACATTAGGTCAAAATGAGCGAGCCTGCTGTGCTCCAAATGTCAAGTCCCCACTCCCCGCCTACATGTGTCTGAGCTTCAGGAAGGATTTGGGACTTCAATAGACTGCAGCTCAGGCCGGACTGCAGCTGAACTCAGGCCAAAGAGCCTCAGCACACATTAACTGCAGCTTGTCAATACAGTTTGCAGACAGCAGGGTGAAAATATCCCAAACTGATGTTAAACTGAGAAGAACTCATAGATCAGAGATTGTTAGCCAAGTTAACAATTCAAACATTAGTCAAGTTAATCCAAACTAACTCAAGATACAGCTGTAGATACTTTTCAAATACATAAATAAGTCATGTTACGAATAAGAAGAGGTAAGTGATTAAGAGGTGGTTTAGTGTATGATGGCTGTCATGTCCCCTTAAAGGCACTAGGGGGCAAACAAACAGCGTGAGTAAATGAAAAGCTTTACCAAGTGCTTTAGTCAACTAATCAATAAGGCAGAATAACAGAACAATAATGTACCTTACAGAGATATCAGAAAATGCTGTTTTCAGTCTATTCCATATAAAAGGTTTGATGCTTTTCTCAGTTGTATATCATATAAAAGTAAATATGTTTGGGTTTTGAATAAAACAAAGTATTGAACAACATATTTGTGGAAATGGGATGCATGCTTTTAACTATGTTGGTACATATTTAGACCAAACCATTGCTCTAGAAAATGATCTGCATTACATTTATATTATAAATATTAGTTATTTGCAGGCCTGCACAAATGTCACATTGTCTACATACACATTTGTACAGAATGTAGGTTTGGGCATTTCATTAGAAACATACATTTAATTAGATGAATGTGAACAAAAGGATATTGCAGCATTGTGGATTATTTTACACAAAGAAATATCTTTGCATGTGCTCACAGCATTTAACTTGTTATCCCAACTCACTGCACTTGTGTAAAAGCTATCTTCAACTGTGTATAAAACTGAAGGCAGACCCAATTGTAGCTGCTGTTTATGCAGCACTGCAGAACTCTTTGGGACCTTGAAATAACTGCAGTACAACTAAATGGCATTTCATTGCCTCATGTTTGAATACCACCTTCTGACAGGCCCAGTCGTGGCATTTTCTGCCCGGCCGGGCACAGCTGGGCGGCCCCTGCAAACTCACTCATCTCCCCCTCTACCCAGGATTAACTCTCCTGCTGAGGGAATTAGTGAGGCATTCTTCAAGATATTTGTTCGTTTTCCTTCCTTTTCTCTATGATATCTCATGCACGATGAGCTGGATACAAAATGTGAAGTGTGCCGAGGCGACAGACCGCCTTGCGCTATTCAAGAAATGTAATCTCCCTCCATCCTGTCTGTAGGATAAAAATAATCTTTTTTGCAACTGCACAACATGACTCATTTTAGGCTTATCATGCTTTATCTTTACAGGCTTTTTTCTTTAACAGTAGTGGTTTCCAAACTCATAGAAGAGCAGTTATTAATTCTGATAAAGAAGCTTTTTTTATTCACTGCAGTTAACAATTAACATGTTTTCCCTCCCTTGTATTTACATTACGTCTGTGGGAACAAAGGTCCAGGTTTTTATCTCCATGCCTAACTTTTAAAAGGGTTTGCTTAGCAATAAAGGAGACTGCCACACTTAATTGTAAAAGGCGATTCTTTCCAGTTTTTCTACCCGGCTTGATACTTCTGTTAAGCTCATGTACATTTCTCTGTGTGCTGCATGACATAAACTTTACTCAGGATAAAAAAAAGGTCAAGGCAAGGAAGCAGAACACACGTATTTCCATACAGTACCCCTTCAATCAGGAGGTGACCTTACAGTACTGATGGCACAATAAATCACGGAAATTGCTCAGTGCCATCTTAATGTTTCAGTTCCTTACACAGAGGGGAACTTTCTTTAATGTCAGGGCCTCTGCGAAACATTGACACTTTAATCTGTGGCTTATTCCCACAGAGTAACAAAGAATATGTATTTGTTCCTTAGCGACACGTACCAAATGCCTAAATATAAACACATCTCAACCACCTGCTGATGAGCCGAAGTGGCTGAAATGAAGTTATGTGCAGAAGTAAGACATTATTTTTTACTTACCAGTGGAAAATGAAGAGTGCAATATTTCAGCTATCAAATCATCACTTCTTCTCTGAGGGAAGTGATCCCTAAAAAACAAAAATAAATTAAATTATTCATGCCCAGTGGACTGAAGATATTCCAGAGTTTGATCTTTCACCAACCATTTAAAGTTAAATACATGCAGCAAAAAAGGAGGACTAAACCTCCATGACCTCAGCCTGAACATATGTTTTAAGTGCTATACTTTCCATCTACTATTAAGTGCATAAAGATGTATGAAAACGTCATGCCATTATACACAATAAAGTAACACATGTATACAAGTTTTAGGCTTTAATCCAAGCCTCTGACCAGATGTAACCATATGTTGATACAAAGATTATCAAAGCAGCACTTTAGAGTCAAGAGATAGGTTTGAATAATTCACCAGGAGTTAAGGGAGCGAGTTTTTCTGCTATTCTGGATCAAACAATCAAACAAGCACTACAAAGCCGAGGAGTGACAGCGCGGCATAATAAGGCCGGCACATCTGCCCTCTGTGCATTTATGTTAAATGGGCCTTGCTATTCTTAGAAGATTTTGTTTGTATTGTTTAATCATTTAAAAATGGCAGCACTTTTGAGACGCACTTCCTTAAATGAGTCTGGCATGGGATGACGAAGCTGCAGCAACAATTGTGTAATAGTCATCTCTGTGTCATTCTTTGCAGAGTGTACTCAGCTGAGCTCAGACTACATTAGTACAGAGTGCTCTGGAGGCGAAACACAATCTGCATTATCATGTACAAAATGTAAATATTCACCACTGATTGTTATTATAAAATGTGTTTTATTTTCCATCTGATGTGCCATTAAGTATGGTAATTGTTTTCTAGATGAATTGAACATTAAATCACTTATTTGGGAAGTCCAAAACCAAAACATATGAACCGTTTGGTCTATAATCAAAAGATATTTACTGCTGATATGATATACTAATTAAGAACAGAATATGAGGCTATTCTTATAATGTTCTTAACTTTACTTACCGTTAAAGATACATTTATAATCCAAATATTTCTCCAGCTCTACCCCTTTGTTTACTTTCCATTCTTGTCAAAAGTGCTGCATTTCTTGTATAAAATGTGCTAAACAGAAAAGGTTTATGAATAATATGTACCTGGTCAGGTGCAGCTCAGGGATGGGCCTCAGGTCTTTTGAGGACAGGGTCTCCACCACAGGGGAGTCCAAGTTAGCGGAGCCGTTGCTGAGTCTGTCGCTGCTCTCGTATCCAGACTCGGTCCTCTGCATCTTCCAGTTGTCGCTCCGCACCTTCAGGGCTCCCGAGCCCTTCGACCTGTCCTTGTCGCTGTAGCCCCCCCGCCCCTCTGAGTCCAGCGAGCTGCGGCTGCCCCCCGTCTCGTGCCTCTGCTCGTCCTCGTAGATGGTCATCAGGCTCTTGGGTTTGCGTTCCTCTCGGCCTCCCCACGTAAAGTCTCTGTCTCGCTCTCTCTCTCGCTCTCGCTCCCTCTCTCGCTCCCTCTCTCGCTCTAGGTCTCGCTCTCGGGTAGGAGACTGACTGTTGGGTCTCCTGCGGGGGCTGTGCTGCCTCCTCTCCTGATTTACTGCATTACCCCCACTCAAAACACTGTCAACATTCAGCGCCTCTCTCATGGGCTTCCAGGGCCGGCTGGGCCTGCTCCGGTTTGTCCCGGCGCTTCCGGGACGTTCCCTGGATTCCTGGCTGCTGTCCGAGTCGTATCCGTTGGAGACCGGTTCCACCCTCCGACTGTGGTGGCTGCTGGTGAAACTGGGAACACTGGGCAGCACCTGGACCCTGGAGGTAGAGCGGACGGGCTCCTGTGAGGGGCGTACTCCAAGGTGGGGGGTGCGTTCAGTACGAGTGGGACCCTTCCCCTGGCTGCTGTACAGACGGGTGTCCACGTGCTGCCTGAAGCCGTTCTCAGGGGGGGACACGGAGCGAGAGTACGTCCTGTCCGGAGCTGGGTCTGGTTTGAAAAAACAGAAGATTGATAAGAACCTGAACAATACATTAATAGATACTATATAACAATACATGTTTTACATTAATGATTCAACAATATCTGGTTTCAAACGTTTTTTCTTGCATTTTTATGACTTTTGGAATTCAATGTCTTTTAATACTAGTAAAGATCTGTAGGAACCATGCCTGAATTTGATCATAACGCATTCAAAAAGTAATTAGAATGACCACTAGAAAATATTCATGTAGAGCCCCTATGGGAATTATAATACACTATAATCCTTGTAATAAAAAAAGTGTCATTGAGTGACAAGCAATTATGGTTGACCTTATGTGGCGTAATACAATTATCATTGTTATCAGGCATTATTAATATTTGTGACTGACTTCAACTTTCATTTTAAAGTTGTATAAGTGTGTTTATTATGCAATAAAGTCATTGAAAGTGTCAGTGTTGGCATCGACAATTTAATCGTATAGTCATATTTGTCCTGCTGAAACTGATAACAAAAAGACAGCGTAATGAATAACACTTTCACTGACACCTCAACACAGTGCTAAAGCCTGGTGCATGCTGGGAGAAAAGTGTGTGTGGGGGGGGGGGAATGACGACAACAGGGTTCCTGACATTTATGCCTGCAGATGACAGAGAGGTGTGAATTACAGCCGACAGGAGTCCATTCTCCTCTCTGGTGTCTACAATGCAAGCTCACACATATCCATGCATATACACACGATAAAGAAAGCGCTTTGGTGTGTGTGTGTGTGTGTGTGTGTGTGTGTGTGTGTGTGTGTGTGTGTGTGTGTGTGTGTGTGTGTGTGTGTGTGTGTGTGTGATGTGTTATGGATGTGCGTCTGCTGTTCCAAGGACACTTCCAGCCATAATAGCCACTTTCGGAATATATAGGTAGACATCCTTCCTGGGAACAAGTTCATTAATGTCAAGCTTTACATGCACACACACACGCACGGAAGGGACATTGCTCAACAATTGTCTGCATAATGAATATTTTCATATAAATTACAATCTTTATTATTTATGCGGTGAATAATTCAAAGTAACAAGGTTAGTAATCGATATGCAGATGATCATGTTGTTGGTGAAGTAAACCTAAATCTTCTAAATGAAATCAAAAAAGGTCATTCTGATTAATTATGCAAGGTAAATGCATTTTATGTAACTTGAAGCCAACACTGCTTATGCTAGTGTTAACGTCATCATCTAAATAAATTGGAAAATGTGATGCGTGGTAATGCTTGAGGGTACAAAAAGTAAAAGTAATACTACATATAACTGCCACTCTTTGGAAAGAGATATAGTTCTATTGCTTCAGATTTTGCTGACTGGGAGCCAGAGTTAAATCAATTCACACATTGCTCTCTCTCTCTCTTTCTGCTCAGATATATGAAACCGAGGTATTTTCAGGACTTTCTGAAATGTTGTCAACAAAACACAGGACTGTGGATCATTTTGAATCAAGTCTTAATCAAAATCCCGGGGGTTATCCAATATGAGCAGAAAGGGTGCTCAAGCTGTTCTTGGGTGTGTTTTTTCAGAAGATTTCTTAGCAAAATGCTAGCCTGTGAACGAGTCCCCGCTGCTGTATATTTATTCTACTTACATTAACTATAGTGTCACCTCCAGCCCCGCCATTCATCACGCCAACGACACTAGCCTCTTTCAGCAGACTGCATTCAATCATAAAAGGGACTTGAGCTCGCTACCAACACAGGCTGCTGCTGTTGACATGCTGGATTTGGGAGCGTGTGACAATTGTGCTCCATAATCCCTTCACTGATACTTCATTGAAAGCAGTGATGTACTAAAAGAGTATTAAAAGGGTACACCAATCAGCATGCCCATTACAATGTATGGGGTAGAAGGGAGATACAAAGTGTGGCAGGAACATTTTAGTTTAGTTAAACGAACACTAATGAATGCAGTGTTTATATTAGAGTTGTTCAATTAACCATATTTTAACCGAGATTACCATTATGGCTTGCAACGATTACGAAAACAACGTAATCGAAATAAAACGATTATGTTTTTATTATTACTTTTTTTATATAATTTTTTTTTTTTGGGGTTTTCAGTTGAATTATACTTAAAGTTCAGGGTAATCAACTGTTAAAAACATACTGTTCAAATGTTTTCCTCCAATAAATGGATGTTTTCAAAGTCAATGGATAATCACATTTAATAATCGCAATTACAATTATTGACCCAAATAATCGAGATTATGATTTTTGCTTTAATCGAGCAGCCCTAGTTTATATGTTTGTAAATGCCCATGTAGAGTAAAGAGAGGAGGACCAATGGCTGTGAATATGATAGAGGGATGAATGCAGGCTCCACTTAATCCCCTTTCTGACACATTGCTCCCAAACCAACGGTTACATAAGGGCTGGGGAAGTGCAGGCTAGCCATGATGTGTATGTTTATGCACTGTATTGCATGTGCACACTGACCTCTGTAGCGTGACTCCGGCCTCCGCTGGCCGCTCCTCTCAGCCTCTCTTCTGGACGGATGCATCCCTCGCACCTCCGCTGCTCTCTGGGCAACTTCTCGAGAAATCTCTCTGATGCGACCTTTAGGATCGTTTGTGCCAATTTTGACTGTAAAAGAAAAGGAAAGGGAAGTTGTCAGGAATCACTGCGCTCTTATGGAGGAACAGACAACCTGACTCTCTGCTGAATTAGGAAGGGATTTTCACAACTGCAGACTCCACTATATCTATGTATATCTCATACAGTGTACATATAGATATTTATTGTCATTTTCCTTGTCACTTTTTCCCCCCCACTATTTGTCCCTGGTATCCCTAATGCACTGAGCACAGGGTATATGCAGGAATCCTGAAGTCAGATGTAATACCTTTTAAGACCCTTTCCATACATTGTAAGACCTCATCGTTATTTGGAGTTTTAACCGGTTACATTGGCGACACACTTTACTATATACAGTATTGATTGTCCTTCCTCCTTATCTTCCAGCCATTTGGACGCAAACTTGCATTTCCCCATAACGATGTTGTTTAGCAACCGGCGTAAACGGACCTTCGCGCGCTATACAGTGGCGAAGTCCCTCCCCTTCCGGTGGACCTCCATGGGACCTTATTTCGGAAAAATTATTTATTGAAGTCAATGGAGAGAGAAAGATTATCTTTCAATCCCGTTTGAATTGTGCCACGAATTACACATATGATGTTTGTCAATTTAAAAGATAATTTTGCAAGTCAAAAAAGTCACAGTTTGTCGTTAAACTGTTGAAATACCATAAATAAAACTACACAGAATCACACTACACACCTACGCAATGATTACATTCAGGCAGACTGTAGAATACAACCTCTTTGGACAATTTATATACTTCTTGAAAACAAGCTACAAAATGTAATACCTTGGAAAATGCCGTTTAATACTTTTTAGTTGCCTTCATTTTCGCTAAATTGATTTATCAACTTTTAATACTTTTTAAGACCCCGCGGACACCCTGGAGCAGTTGCAGGGAGTGTAGACAGAAGAAATCTCAACATCATTTTTCTGAAATGTAAATGCGGCATTTTCTGCCAGGGAGGGAAAAATATCTCCATGCTGAGGATTTTAAGCTCCGTCTTTGACAGATTGCTTTGAATGATTAGTCATGAAACTAGAAAACATGATCGTACTGTGTGTCAGATTTCAGCAGGAATATAATAAGAACATAATACCAGGAGTTGTCTTGAGATACACTTCAAAGAAACTCGGTGGAAGACCTTAGATATCTGGCTGGTGGAAATTAAAGAACATATCAAATGTATGGGAGAATAAGGTCCCTTAAAGCTTTAATTACAAGTCAAATATGATCACTTTTATTTATTTTACCAGTAGTATTATAAATATATATTGTATGATTAAATTGTACCAAACTTTATATCCAAAATTAATAAAAGAGCAGTCCTTCCTGCTAATTAAGTTGTTGCATCAAATTAAAACTTTAAAATAATCTTCTTCACCCCCAACCCTACCGAGGGTCTCTAATCCCCTCTGTATTACTAACACGGCCAGATTTAGTTGTACAGCGAAGACGTTTAATGATCTTGTCCAAATCTTTCCTTGACCCCACTCTCTGTGGTTGAAAGAAATTCGAAATGAAGCAGTTTTTAAGGAGTCGATTTCATTTTTTGTAAAGACTTAATTAAAGGACTTGTTCAAATAGAAACTTTTGCTGCTTGTTCATCCACATCCTAGGTAAGAAAACTCTCTCTCTCGTTTTCTCTCTTACCTCCCCGACCCACGCTGTCCTGAGCGCTGCCCCGGCTGAAGGTGGAGGGGGTCTTCTGCTTGAAGGAGTCCTGCCCCAGCAGAGCCAGGTTCTCTTTGGTGAGGTCCAGCTTCTTAGGAGCTACATCTGGAGATTCCAAGCCTGCAGAGGACAAAAAGAAGAACATTTTTTAAATTCAAACTGAGGTCATACATGCAGTATCATCTTTTTTCAAGAAACAAAAAGCCATGTTACTTGAATCATATGATAAATAGAGCAAAACAAAAACACTCAAATATTTAAATTTAAAAATCCACACAGCGTTGTGCTTTGTTTTTGCGGGATGATCCAGTTTGGGTGCTCCGTCAGCTCTAAAGAGCGAAGAGTTTGGACCTGGGGCTCGGCCAGCCGGGGAGTTGGAGGAGGATCTCTAAAAGGGATCAAAAGCTGCCCAACCAAACAAATCCCGGGATATATAATCCAAATGACCAGCTGCTCTCATCAACACATTTTCATTACTGCAAGGCCACTAATATATCAGGGATTTTACACGTCGTCCTGAAAAGAGTTGTTTTTTTGGTATCTCTGATTTTTAAATCCATTTAAATCTGTTTTAAAATGAAAGGAATTTTCTATTTATATTGATTCAATGTGTACTCAGAGGAATAAATTACCAGCCGGGCAATAATTCTACTCAATGTGAAAACGTCCTGTCTATTCAAATGTCCATATTCCTGTATTTTTCCTTTTGTTGTTTGTCAAACACACTCCAGTTGGGTGGTAAGAGGAACATTGTATTGTCTCCAAATCCTGCACTATTCTTACGATGAAATACTAAAAGGAGAGTGCACGCCTCAGCTTCATATTGATGGCTGTTTACAGCATGGCACAATAATTAAATAGGTCACTTGGGAGGGGTTCTGGGTCAGTGGAAGCAAAGAGAAACACTCAACAGCAATAATAACAGAGAAAAGCGCTTCAATAAAGATACGTTTTCATTCCCTTAAAACAGGCTATTTTCAATAAATTCCAGACTGTCAAAGCCATTATTTTCAAATCAAAATGTTAACTATGAATGCCATCAAGATTATAAAAAGTTTACAAAATGTATGTGACCCAAAGTAATCAAAGATGATTTACACTCTGCATATAGTCTTTATTAGGCTCCTTATTTCAGCCACAACTGACACATGTTAAGTAGTTTATGTAAAATAAATCCAGACTTAATGTTTACCTTGCACGTCTCCGTTGACGGGGGTCTTGTGGGGGGTCTGGCTGCTCTTTGGTCTCGAAGTATCGTCTGCGGGGATCGCACTCCCGTCGGGGTTGGCGTAAAACAGAAGGAGAGGCTGGAAGTGACCTTTGATACATTTGCTGACCACATCTTTCCACCTGGAGCCGATCTACAGCAAGACACAAAGGAAAGGTGTTCAATGCATCTGTATATGTGAGAAAAGAAAGTGAGAAAGAAAATCCTTCCTTTCCTCGATCCGCCTTCCTTTTTTTATTGAAAAAAGGGTTTAAAATGTTGGATTCTTGTAATGGAAAGTCAAGCTGCCATGGTCAAATTCATTTCATACAAGCAGACAGATTGTTCTTAGAACATCTGGCTTCATTTTACAAAGAGGTTTCAACAAGGTTTTGTTGTGTAAAAGATCTGATGCGAGTCACTTTAAATGATTACAACCCGAACGCAGCTTCTTTTGGAATCACTTTATCTTCAACTAACAGAAAATGGTGTGACTAAAATTAATGTATTTATGTATGTGTAACACACTGAAACCAAATCAAGCCATTAGCCCAACGAGGTGCGTGTCCGACAGAGAGGCAGGCTGCAGGCGAACAGATGCTTCAGTGTGGGGAAAAAAAGAGTTGAGGTAAAGAAGAACTAATGCAAGGCAAACAAAAACACACACAAAGGAATGAGAAAAAGACATTCATAAATGAGAAGAAGAAAAAACTGTGGATGTAGGGCAATGTAACTAATCAATGTTTTTTCCCCAATTACAATTTTGGCATCAATCGACTATAAAACAAGATAATATAAGTTGGAGTTTTGCTTTGGCAGTGCACTAAAACATATTTGTTCTAATTAATTTTAATATATGTTGTTAGATATTGAACCCTGTATTATATATTAATGTTTAGAAGAGTTCAGTATGTTGTGGAAGTACACAGTCACAGAAATGCTGCAGGTTTAAACTCAGGTACAGACTTGGCAGCACCAAGCGCTGTAGCTCCTCCACCTCAGTGGTGGGGGGGTGTGGGGGGGCTGCACACGCAGCACAAGCTGCTGATGGATTGACACGGGAGCCAGCCAGCCGCTGCACCACTGTCCCCGAGAAAATGAAAGGATGTGAAACAAAAGGCATGCTCATATGTGCACACCATGAAAACACAGCTAACATTTAGAGAATTAGGGGCATGAAAGGATACGTGGCCTATAAAGTGTACACACACACACACACACACACACACACACACACACACACACACACACACACACACACACACACACACACACACACACACACACACACACACACACACACACACACACACACACACACACACACACACACACGTACACACACACACTACACTACACACACACACACGCACACACAACTTACACACACACTTACACTACACACTTAACACCACAACACACAACACCGGACACAACCACACACGGGACACCACACGACACACACACACACACCACAGTCACACACACACACACACACACACACACACACACACACACACACACACACACACACACACACACACACACACACACACACCTTTAACTGGTGAAGGGACCCGTAAAAAAATCTATACAGGTTAAGCTCCACTACTGCAGTACTTTGTGAAGATAGAGTTTGGGAACTGCAGTAGAAATGAGGAGGGGGGGGCTCATAAAGGCTCATCAACCCGGAGGCTATGAAGGGCAATCGATGAAGCCTTTATTGACCGATAAAGACAAGACTGAGCTTTGCTACTCTTTGCTGCTGGTGGCAAAAAAGACTTTGATGAGTACTGAGGTGTCCACATTTTGAACTGGAGCCCGTTTGTACAGTAGTAACCTGCGAAGATTGAACTAAAATCATGAAGAAAAAACTGCCCTTGTATATGTTGTCGATCTGTTAGAGGTGTTGACATTCAAATTCAACATTCAAAATGTTTAGTTTTTTTAATGTCTATTGATAGTTTCCATGTGTTGCTGTTTAGCAATCTTAAACAGCAAGCCATAATTGTGTTGTTGTGGTCATAAATGTTGCTCACAATTTGGATGTGTTCCATAATGCAAAAAATAATCACTTTACAATCAAGCAAAAGAAAGAAAATAACTAATTCCCCATATCAAGACAAGCTGGATGCAGTGTATGCTTTGGCATGGATTCTTTCTATGAACTAATTTAGTAATAGACAAATTATTTAATAAAGAGGGCACCCAGATCTTACCTCTTTCACCGTAGCGTCATCGAAGAAGACCCATTTGGAGGACTTGGTGTGGAAGGCGAAGGCACAGTAGTGGCGGCTGGAGTAGCAGATCATCCCCACCAGCAGCAGCTCGCCCTTTTTGGCATGCTCATCCGTCACCCTGTAGAAGAGCTGTGCAGACACACACACACACACACATTAATATATATAAATATATATACAGCAATTACTCAGCGGCCTCAGCACTACAGTAAGTGTGCAGGCAGTGAGTGATGTTGACGGGGGGGGGGGATCAGTTACTCCATCTGTTTATAGATTAGGTCTGAGGGAATGAACCGCCATCGATTCAACAATCAGGACGAATCAGGAGCCGCTTTAAATCCGAGCCTTCACTGCACGTGATATCTGAACTAATTCTACAGTATAAGGCGTGGGAAAATACGAAGGTTTAAGGTCACGATTATCATGGTTAATATTACAAATAAATACACAATAAAATCATCAAATATGCTTGAAATCTCATACAGAGTGGAATCACTTTAACCTTCATTTTTTGAAGAAACTATTTTATTGCATCATATCATTTTAAAAAGATCAATAGTAAGGTCGCCTACATAAATAAATTATAAACATAAAAATCAGCAACATAGCCTGAATCTTTTCTTTCCTAAACAATTTGTGTATTTAAAAAAAAAATCAGGATACATTTTCGTACTTCTCTAGAATGTTAGAGAGCTAAATCAGAGGATATCCATTATTATCCCAATAATGGAAATGCACCGAAATAAACTTACTGTGAGTGTTTTTATTGCAATAACAATAAGATCCTGGACACAGTGTTCTTATTTTTATGGTCAAACGGCTGTTATAAAGAGTGGTTTTCTTTCTTCTTTGCACAAATATCAGCAAGAAATAAAGTCAAGCATTTGGCAGACATAACAAGCCATTTCTCCCGCCCATGTTTCCTGCACAGCCCGTTCTCTGTCTGCCTCTCACTCTCTCAAACAACACATTTCAAAGCAAACTAATGGGGGGGGGGGCTCCATGTAACACCCAATAAAGTCACATGAAACACTCTTTAATGAATTAAGGTCTTTGTGGCACAGTAGTGGGAGGTAGATATATGTATGTGTGTGTGTGTGTGTGTGTGTGTGTGTGTGTGTGTGTGTGTGTGTGTGTGTGTGTGCGCACGCATGTGTGTGGAGGGGGGGGGCTGATAAATTCTGGTATGTTGGTATGCTTGGAAATGCGTGAGCTGTCAAATAAACGCTTTGAATGAAGGAGTTGTGTAATGTGTGGAGCGTTTGAGTAATGATTGCTGTGTTTGCTTGTTGTCCAACACAGTGTCCTCATGTGAACAGGCTACCGAGGAATAATAAAAAGTACATTTTTCAAATACATATTTCATTTATTACCTAATGTGATTTTATGGACTGAAAGGGAGTTACACTGTGTGCATACTTTGGATTAAACATGTGTGAAATATAAACAACTAAAGAAGCATTGAACATGTTATTTTTCCATCTCGGTGACGGCGTGTTCAGCCCACATGTTCTCTCAGACACACACACTCAGGAAACCACAGAATTGAGGGGAGGGGCTTTCTGACCAGGGCTTGTTGATCGCGGCGCCGGCCAACTGGGCATTGGGCGTTGACTGCTTACGCAACGGGCCGACTTACAGAGGAATAAATCCCCACTTTATTTCCCACATATGTTCCAGCGCAACAAAATAAACTGATCCTAAAAACAGCATAAATGACAGCTGTGTGAAAAAAGTCCAAAACGATACTGTCAAACTGAATGATGTCTGGAGAGAGTTACTTCATATTTTTTTTTTATTGAATTACTTCATGTCAAAAGGCAAATGAAATATTCTAGTTTTGTGTTAATATCCATGCTGGAAATCCAGAAACTATTGGGCAAAAAATACCAGAAAGAAGATAAAAAACTAAAATCTTTCGTTGTTTTTATGTATTCAAATGTAGTTGTTGTATTCATTTGGGCTTTGTGGCTAATTATTTATCAATAATTCTACACACAAAACCTATTTTTTTGTTCTTTCTTGTTATTGTTTTCTCTTATTATATTTTTTTCCAATTTATTTTTATTTGGGCTTGATGATTTAGCTCTGACTTGCTGATATTCTAATATGTTGTTACTTGTTTTTCTAACTACTTCCACTACGCAGTGTCTACAAATATTCAAATGCATAAATCACAGAGTGTCAAATGTAAATGAAATGTTGGTTGAAGGTGACTCACCGCAGAGAGACTGAGATGAGGCCCCAGCGATCGGACCACCTCCTCTGTGAGGTCGGACTGATCCGAGTCCCAGACGAAGCCGATAGTGACGATCTCCGGAGAGTTCATGAGGACGCTTCTGATCCGAATCCTCTGACCGCAGTTGCTCTAGAGAACAAGGAAGAAGATGACAGTTTTACTCAAAAGCAACTTCACCAAATGACCAAGTAAGAAATGAATATCAAAAACAAAAATGTTGGAGAACACTCCTTCAAACCATAAAGAAACGGAATTGCTAAAAGTTTCGGCAAGACATTTGTTACTCTATGAAGAAATGTGAAAAATTGCCATGTTTTAATCCAAATTATATGCACATTTTATCAACATTTCGCATAAGTCTGCAAAAGCAAATATGATAAATGCTTTATTCCATTCGTTGCAGTTATTAGGAGTTTGTTCATTGAGAAAAGCAGTAGGTGGAAAACCATTATACCTTTACAAAAGAAGATACAAATCAAGATGACTGAATTAAAAGAGCTCCAGTGGAAGGTCAAACAGTAAAAATAATGAAGAAAATTGCATTTAAATATAACATTTGTTAGTTTCATCATGTATAAAAGTAAGGTAGGTTATTTAATATAAGTGTGGAACAATGAGGAGAATATTTTCCATCTCATCTGGGGGGCAGAAGCTTCATGTATATCATATTTCATCTACTGAACCTGTTAACATTCAGCTTTTAACCATACAACAACTTTTGACCACTGCCAAGAGGAAAGACTTTTCTGTGATACTTCACAATGCATCTCATGTGCTTTGTATAAACACTTTCCAGAGGACACTTACTGGACAGTTACGGAGGTCCCCTATCGTACTTGCTGCTCGTAACAGTTCCCCAAAAGACTCGTGTGGCTGAAGAGTCTGTTGACTGAGAGAGATGAGAAGCATTGTCAGCAAGAAAAAGAGAGACAGATAAAGATAGAGGTATGTGGAGCAAAAGACTACGAAGTGTGAGATGTCAGCTAAAAGGTATATTAATGGCCATGTTGCAGAGGGAGAAATGAGCTGGATGGATGAACACGAGGAAGCCGGGAAAGTTTCACAAAGCCTCACCAGAGTGCGGTGGTGGAGACATAATGCACCAGCTCTGTAAACGGCAGTGGGTCGGAGGACGCCCCGCAGCTACGGCACACAGACTGCAGAGGAGACAGAGTCAGAGGAAAAAATGTGGTAAGTTACAGGGGGAAAAAAGAAACACAGGTGTGATTTCAGGGCTGATTATCAAGTCAGCATGCCATTCTAAAAAAGAGTTGTAACAGAAATACTCACAGAAAGAAAAAATCCCCAAAACTGTGGAAAGAGATTCTGACCAATCGTGCTGCGTTCGATGATGATTTGCATTATCAGACATCACATTTATCAAATGAAGTCATCAATCTCCCCCTGACTATGCAATCCTCATTTCGGCCTTGTTAATATTGCAGGATTGGGCGCCCTGCACTGACTGTCCCCCGAGGGATTTAGTCCAAAGGCGTATTATCTGTTAGATTCACAGATAGGACGGGTGCAGGACAGGGACAGTCGGTGATGGGAATCACAGTGTGTGTGTGTGTGTGGGGGGTGTGGGTGTGTGTGTGTGTGTGTGTGTGTGTGTGTGTGTGTGTGCTGTGAAGGAATTTATGTGAACACCATCTGTGATTTATCTGCTGCTGCTGCTGCTGCACCGTGGAATCTGACCAGAAACACCCTGTTTATTCCACCGGGGCGACCCAGTATCAAAACATGACAGATTGGATTTCTACTGTCTCAGACAGTGATTCATGTACCCGTCTGTGTGTGCGCGCGCGCGTGTGTGTGTGTGGCTTAATCCTAACGTTGGCTAGCATGGTTAGCATGTCCACACCTTTCTGTACAGGCTGAGCAAACAAACACTGTGTGCAATAAAACATCAAGATAATTAACACCTACTCCTCACACAGCCTGGTGTGACCCCTTTTTTTTTTTTTACGGATTGTATATCTACAACAGCGTTAAGAGACCATTTAACGTTAAATACAAATGGAAAATGATGGAGCCAGCGGAATATCTTGAGAACAAACTCAGCTTTTACGAGATTAGAGCCATAAAAGAAAAAAACAGATAAAATACAAAACAATATTTTTTTTGTCGTACATTTCTTTATTAGTTTTTTACCCATTATCGCCATATTATCATAAATATGTCCATGTGCAATTACATAATATTTCTCCTCACCTGCTCATAAAGTGTCATAGCAAACTTCTGATGTGTGATGCAAGACTTTGAGGTACAGGCATCCGTCTCCTCAGGCACGATGTGCAGGTGGATCCTCTCCAGGATGTTCTCCTGTAACACAAACATCTATCAGGGATTGGGTTCAAATACAGCGACCTCTCTTTAAAGCACCGCATGCTAGGCTATTTGCTTTTCCAGCGAACAAACCGGCAGTACAGTGGGACACATGTTGCAAAATCTGACATTTGAAAGGAAAACATATACTGAGGCTCCATTATGGCTCACACCAGTTTCTATTTTTCTTGTGAGTTTATATTATATTAAGGCTGCAAGGTTGGTCTGCAAACGATACAAAGGCACAACTTGACTGGCTGTTAATCTGACACTGGCTAAATCCATAAATTCATGCTGCTGCCAATACATTTCATGCTGAATGCTCAAGGTTAAAGATCTGCGCAGGATGTAAGCTTCACTCTTGGTGTAAAAGGTTACTGTCAAGTTTATGTATTGACTTGGCAAAAAAAGTTGCTTTCTCTGCACCCAACTAAATGTCGGTTGTGAGCCATTTCGACTGATCATAATTCCATTGTTGAGGTTTACTAAAATAGATTTACATTGTGCAATTTTCCAAAATCTCATTGGTTTCTCATACAGCATCTCTGTATAGTATGTGTATTCACTCTCTGTCCTACACGGCTTGTTGGAGCTCCTGCCCCCCCCCCTCCCTATGAGCCCAGTGGCCGTCTGCGAGACAGTGAGACACAGCAAAACCAGCCCGAACACACACACACACACACACATACACGCAGCCTGGCTGGGAGTTTGTGTGTGTGCTCACACACCGACTCACAGCCTCGCCACATCCCGCCTTCTCAGGGAGGAGAAATCGGCGGAGCTGCAGCTGAGAAAAGATTGAGTGTGTGTGTGTGTGTGAGGAAGTCCACGGATTGGTCAATTTAGACCAATCCACAGACGTAACGGCTCCACGGATTGGTCCATTTTTACCAATCCACGGAGGGGTCGTTGTTACGTCACTTGGTTCCCGGAAGAAAAAAATTGGAAAAAAACATCTCCAACGAGGCGTTCTGGTGCAGCATAGACACGTATTTTCTGTGTTAGAGTTTTACTAGCTACAGGGTGTACTTTGAGGGTTTGTGACTTTGCAGATAATAACCGGAAAAGCATGACATGGGACCTTTAAGATAAATAGTATCTTAATTCTAACCCTGGTCCAACCTAGTGTCCACTTATTGTCAAATCTTCTCCACTTCTGCTCCAGAGACATTAGATTCTCAGTCTTGTTTATCCATGTGTAATTGGACTTCCTGGGTGTGTAAACAATGATTGTGGGATAAAAGCAGGATACATCTGTAATGTTGAACGCAGAAAGGATAAAAATAAATAAATAAATAAACAACTGATGGACACAAGAAGAAAAGGTGGAAAAATCGAGGATATAAAATGCTGCAGGAACTGTTTTGTATTAAGACAAAAAAAGAATTTAAATTAGTTTACTGCTAATAGTGGAAAAACAGTTTCTGCCAAAAAGAGCAGAAAAACTGGAGCTGATATGTAAAAAACATAAACGATGAAGGGCGAATAAAATCAGCCCAGAAATGATGCGACAAAACATGGTAGCAGAAAAACAGAGAGGTTCAAACAGAACTCTTATATAACCTGTCATGATGATATTTAGCGGCAATGGGGCAGGGGTTGATGGGAGGGGAAGGGAGGGACAGAAGCTCTTTCAGTGACCTCGCCAAACAGTTTGTTGCTGTGCATTACCCCGGTGTGTGGACAGGGTAACACACAAACACACAAACATCGCTCTGAATACACTGCTGGGTTGCCACAGGAACTTACAAAGCACTCTGCGGCGTCGTCCATGAAGCCCAGCTGGAAGCGGTGCTCGTCCTTAAAGGTCTCTGCCAAGGCGTGACGCAGGTTGTCAGAGGGCAGCGCACGCTCCCGACTGTGCTGGAACTGGGAGAAGATGCCCTGGAGAGGAGAGGAGAAATGGTTTACTCATGGACAGAGGGATATATTGTTTATCATAATTGTTTTTGTCACCCTCACTGCTGAATAGGGCTGTATGATTAATCCAAATGTCATCTCAGTCTCGGTCTTAACAAAATATCCTTGTTTGGAACAGAACATCTTAAAAAAACATACCATAAGCATTTCAATATATTTTTCAATGATAAACTGGAGTTAACAGTTAAATATATGAATTTAGATGATGCTTTCTACCTTTAATGCACAAAAGATGCATGATTCCCCTAAACAGAAGTGTCCAGGTAGCTGCCTCAGGCTGCGTCTGAAGATGTCCAGCTGCCACAAAACCTGAACGAGAGAAACAGAAGGTTACTTTGATTCTTCACACTATAAAACGTTATAATAGGTATTTATTTTGTGTGAAAAAAAATTGACATCCTTGGATCTATTGCTTAATATGGCAATCAGACGTTAGGTTACAGACTCCAAGGTCATGAGGATGAGGAGTGGGCGAGAGGAAGAACTCCCTCACAAAAACAGAGCCTTGGGTAACGATCATCTTCAACCAGCTCAGCCTCTGAGTCACAGTCTCTGAGAGAGTGACCTCACTGTGGGCACACTGCAGTAATGAACCAACTATCCAGCTAGTGTCCCGATAGTCAAGTGCATAAATAAACTGCCAGGAAGCTGTGACACACGCAGACAGTGAGTAAAGTCTGAAACTTTAAATAAATGATGGTCATATTTTGAGAGGGTGAAGTACAGGTCCTGGAGGAAAACCACGACATGCAAGGGAGGTTAAACAAAAAAAGAATGTAGCGGCCATTTGTCCTTATATCAAAAACGAATTAAAAACTTCTGCCGAGGCACCAGAAACTGAATGTTACGGAGAGATTGAATCCAATGTCCTGGTATGAATATAGTTTGTTCAGCATATTATCTTTTCAAAGACCAAACAAAACAAAGAACAACAATTGTACCTCTACTCTGGCCCTGGTAAAAAGAAAAAAAAAAAACATATGCCTTTCAGGTGCCCAATCCCACCTCCACCTGTAAATACGTTTTAACCAGGTGCTGCCTGGAACAACCGGAACTCAAATAATGACACTTAATAATGATGCTGAAATAACTAAAACAGCCATAAAATAAATGAATGAATAGCTTCAACAGAGAGAGAGAAAGAAAGCACTTGTCAAAAATATGTATTTTGCAACACATATGGCTTTTTGGGAACATAGTTAAATATATTTCCAGTGATGGAAATATCAGTCTGTCAATCATTTTGGAGTAATTTTAAGTACCTTGTAATGACTATGTTAATAATGTCCTCCCTACCTGCACGGCGCTGTTGAGGAAGCAGCTGTTCTGGCCCGGTTCGTTCAGCAGTCCTTTGGTGGGGGCCAGAGACAGCATGCTCCCCGGCTGGTACGACTTCCCCAGATTGCCACCCGGCTTCCTGAAGAACTTGACCCATGCCATCGGATAGGGGGGGTCTGCCTCAGACAGGTGGGCCGGGCGGAGGTTGGTGCTGGGATCAGATCCCCGATAGTCCGGGGTTAAGTTATTCCTGCAGCAGCAGCACTGCTACACATCTAATCCATTTCTGCAGCTCACGTAGAACATCCTTTTAGTCAGTCTGCTTTCTTAAAAAGTTGATCCAAAAAAAATAAAAGTCAACACAAAAAGTTAAAATCCAAGTGTTTGTTTTGGAAAGCCGTTGATGATCCGCGGTCTGATGCTGGTGATGAGATGAGTTTTGACTTCGGAGCAGCACGCCTCAGTCATCCTGACGCTCTGCAGCACGAAGCTTCACAACGCTTCAGAGGGGACGGCGGACCCCTGCGAGCTCATTCTGCCACATGGTCCCGATGGTATTGGAGATTTTCCGCTGCAGTCAATTGTCCCTCTCAGAGGTCAATCCATTGCAAAGGTTTGTCAAGGCCGGGCAGAAAACACAGCTGCGTTAGAGACAGAGAGAACCAGATTAAATGGGATTTAGAAGACAATATGGAGCTTATCACCACTTTCTGTTTTTTGTCTGGTGTGTAAGCTCTATTGATGTTTAATTGCAACATTTCCGAGTCGTTTCATAACATGATAATGATATTCCATAAAAGCGACCGAGACCACAGTCTTCATAATATCCTGCTTGTTCTAGGTCAGATGTCGACAGAGTTTACACATTAACTTTTCAAAACACCCTTTGCACTGGAGGCGTGTCCAACTGAAGCTAAAGTTGCAGAGTTTCCTTAAAAATAGATGGCAACTCCCAAGAGACATTTACAAGGACTGATGGTAACGTTTCCTAAGAACGTCATTGTGAATAATGTTACCTACAATTGAGCCATTTATTTTCTAAATGTAAATTCCTTCTCTTTTCACGTGACTGGAAAGCAACTTGTTTTATAAATTATACTACTGATATTTATCCGTAAGTTTTTCACCCGACTAATGTCAATAAAAATGTAAAAAAAATAAGGAGAAGGCCCACAGAGCCCAAACAATAGTACGAACAAATTAAAACAATCCTATCTGATATCTAAAAAAAGGGTATTCGTAATTACCATTGATTAATCTTCCGCTGAATAATTGACCGCATGGATTTATAGATTCACGAAACAGATGTATCCCTATAATTGTCATTTTAGCTCTACTGTAGATGGGAGCCCCAACTAAAAGAAAATGTGTCAGCAATTGAAAACTTTCACCCAAAAAACTCATTTTGTCAGTTTTCTCTGGCATTGTCATTCTTTTGTAACGACAAAAAGAGCATAAGAGCGCTGTCCTGGCCTATTTTTAACTGGAGAAGAGCAGCGGAGGACATTTCAACAAACCACTGAAGATGCACTTCGATTGATAAACTTGCAGTCCATGCAGCTTCAACACCACAGTGAGAAAGAGCAACACAATCTGCAGAGAGTGTGCACAGCGCTGAACACACTCCTGTGAGCAGTTTGATGGATGAACACGTTTGTGCTGAGTGAGGCAGTGGGAGCTGTGTGTGGGTTATTACAGTACAGGAAGATGTGCGTGCTGTATACACAAAGCCTGTGTTCTTTCATGTCATTCTAAAAGCTTGCTCTTGGAGAAGTTGCGGCGATGTACTTGTAGCTTCAAAAAAAGTGTGAAGAAGCAACAATGAGCAATAATTCCTTGTGTACCACACAGTGATTCATCCTGTTTTTGTCCCTAACACCTTAAAGAATAAACCTCAAACACTTTGTTATTCAGAGTGAGGACAAAACAATATGTCCTACTTTGCACTACAATGAAACTTCCCTCTTGTGACACTCTCCAGAAACAACAAAAAGCTTCAGCCAAAACCCGTTGGACCACATTTACATACTGGTATTTCAGGAATCCTAGATGCCCGATGGTACAGTGTCACCTCTCGACAGGTAACAGTTTAACCTGAATTTTAGTCATTTCAGTCCTCTCCACATGATGCAGCTAAACATGCTAATGGACTTAGCGACACAGCAACAACAGCATTCCTGAGCAATCTGTAAAGCTCAGTGTTGCTTAAGAACGGCTATTTACAGATTAGCTTGAGAGCAGAGAGGAAAACTTTTCACTCCACCTTTACCAATAACATGCCTCGACGTGTTGGTGCCGTCTGTACGTTTCTTCAATTGTCCAGGTCACAACCTAAGTTTTCATAATTTTTCCGAGATCTGAATGCCCACCTAAATCACTCACTACACAAAGTAGTAATACTGATTGATTTAAAAAAAAGTTTGAGGGAAATTATCAGACATGTTTTTATTCTCTTTCAATATATCAATGAACCTATTCATGTCTTAGCACTTTAACTTTAATTTGTGTAATGTACACCCGTCTAATCTATTTAAGCTTGTTTTAAGTTGTATTCTCTTATTAGTGACTAAATGTTATAAAATGTCATTTTCAAAAAAAAAAATTGTAAAGCACTTTGAATTGCCTTCTTTTCCCCTGAACCTCTGATTAAATATGTGTATGTCTCTAAACTCCTTTTATTTAGATGTTTAATTAATCTTTCATATTCTCATATACAGTAATATCACTTTAACAGCTAGACCCCTCCAGGACGTCACAATTCAACAAGTTATACAGTTAAAATATTGAGTCCTACTTTTTCAAACAACGCATGAACTAGAGTGTAAAGTATCTCTTCAATTTAAATTTACAAACAAGCAAAGACAATACCACACATCCACATCATTCATTCGGTGGCATGGAAAATGAAGCCAATGCAAGCTTTATATTGTGACAGTGCTGACAACAGCAAGAGTAAATATGGCTCTGCTTTCAGGTCTGAGAGAAGTTATTAAATTACGGCAGTCCACTTGAAAACTGCCAACCTCACTTATGTTTAATCACCTTTTAGTCTGGGCAGAATTGAGAATTGCTGACTAGGATTTAATGACATAAAAGATAATGCCAAGAATGAGTATAATAAAAAGAATCCTGAGTATAATACAAAGTATTTGCCCTCGCTCAACGATTACAAACATGATTTTCATATTACTGCATGACAATGAGGCCACTGCTGAGGAGAACATTGGAGCCACATCCGTTTTCCCCCCACAAGAAAAAAAAATAAAAAATCATTCCCGGCTTATCAGATTAAGCATGACACCTTTCATCTGACAAAATCATGTGACTGCACCATGGCGCGTCTGCACCGCAGGACAGGCGCACATTTCTGGACACAGACTGGCTGAGTTACAATCCAGAGAGGTTAAAGTGGAACAAACTGCACCGACCTGTGAGCAGAGACATTATCTGAACAGGTGGCTGTGTACGAATGGTTTTCATTTATATTCTCAAACATCTAAAACAGATCCCTCATAATAGATTACAAGTGAATGCAGCCATGTGATGTATCGGCCTGTTTGTTTTTAAAGCTTGGTGGAGAAAATGACTCAACTGGCCGGTCACAATATTTTCAAGCAGCCAGGTTTACGTCATTATTAGGTGGGAAGCCAACACGGCTACCACCCTTCTGCTTCAGTCTGTGCTGAATTAAACGGTTTTCTTCAGGCTGGTTTCCTCAATTTAGGTTAATCCTTACAAGTTGGCAACATTTTCCACACCAACAGGTAACAGAATGAGCTCGTGTCTGTACGATAGTCAGTTCTGTTTTCAACACTGGTCTTTTTCTTGCTTTATATGACCAACATGACTCTTTTTCCCAATTCAGAAAATGATATTATTGAATTGATACACAAAATGGTCATGTGAAGCTACTGTATAATGTAAGTAATAATGTAGAAGACAGAAATACACCACCATTAAAACCTCAACTTTAACATTAAGCAGGTTAAACCACATACAACAGATTTGATGATTTGGATGTATTTGATACGAGATAAAATCATTAACCCCTGTGGGGAAATTAGGTCACGACTGCAGCAAGATGTTCAATTCAGTCAGGTAAAAACGTTGTACCGATCTGAGCCAAGCAAAAGGAGAGATTTCCCTTTTTCTCTCAACAGCAGCGGTACAGGATGTCCAGTCTTCCTCTATAAACAAAGACATGCCCAGACTCTCTCCAGGATTGACTTTTTTCTTGTCACAGGGAAAAACGCTAGGGCTAGCACCTTGGAGCAATCAGCCCCAGTGTGTGTGATGTGCATCAGCACCTCTGATAGGCCGAGGGGTTCTGAAGGCACGCGGAGCAGGATGCTATAATCTATCTATTAGCGATCTGCTGATGGATAGCCTCATTTAGAATGATTCAATTGATCAGCTTCCGATGGAAATCCAAACAGCCGCTGATTAATCAAACTGTGGAATTGAGTCACACTAATTCAATGTCTAGAAGACGTGAAACACATGGTGGGAACAGCAGAGAAAGGAGGTATTCAATATGTAAAGAGGCTTTGTGGGAATCTAACACCCATAATTAGTTCACAAGCCTCTAATGTACATTCAATCTTTCATACAGAGCCTGTAAAGACATTTTAATTTGCTTTATAAAAACACAACTTCCAGCCTCTCCTTAACTTCTGAGATAAATCCAGGTACCCTTTTCAAATGCAAATCACTATATATTTCCATCATCTTGGTGCATTTTCCTCCTGCATGACAGCTGAGCATTCCCTCGGGTTACTCCTCAACTCTGACTCTGGTGATGAATGACTTTCCTGACTCAGGGTTACATTTAACAACAACTTCGACTCCCAGGTGTAAAAGCAAAAGTATTGTACATCTGTTTCTCCGCTATTTTTAGTCAAATCTATTTTGTTGTATTCTGATGTCTAATATTGGACAAGAAATGTGTAAATAATTCAACTCTACCTTCAGAAAAATAACTTCTGAGCTATGTTGAGTCATACCTCGTGTGCAATAGGTTGGGGAAACATATATATTTTAAAAACTTTTGATAGAGTAATATCCTGGGATGCAGAAGAGTGGGGAAAAGCAAAAAGTATCCTCACAAATGGAATAAACAATGCTGAGCAAGGAAACAGTTTGTACTTTGTGATTATAAACTGCAGTTTCCTTTTACTAAAGTGTTGATTTATCTCCCACTGAATTTTTAAATGATCATCCACTGCTACACATTCACATTTTCCATGTCTTGAGTTCGCCTTGGGTAGAAAATAATCAACTTCTCCTTTGTTGATGCAGTCATGCAAACTTCTGAGTCTGAATCATTTGGTAAACGCATGAAGGGAGTCGAATGTATTGAGAGATCTCACAGATGACTCCCACTCAGTTCACCACTTTATATCTGTAAAAAGCTCACTTAAAGTGGAAGTCTAAGTGTCTGACATGAGGATATAAACATTTGTCTCTACATTTCCTCTCCACTGTTCACACAATGTTCTAATATCCTATGATTTATGAATTTGCTTTTCACAATGCTGTCCGACTGTTTATTTTAATCAAGAGAAGTCTGGAAATATACAACGCCTCAGCACAAGTAGCCCCCGCCTGCTTGTAGAGAAGAAGCAATAAAACCTGACCCTGCATGCTCTGACCCTAAGAAACTGTGAAACTTGGACTGTGGCGTTCCCTGTGGACTGCAGACAAGCTTTGAGCCTTTGGGCAACAATGCAGCGGGGTTTCCTGTGTGGGCTTCCTGCTCAAAGGCTCGCCACTTTCCAGGCAGCACACGGTCCAGTGTTCTACCCTGTGAAACTGAACAGGTCCCCCACACCACGCTGTGTCACCGCTTTCTCCTCGTTGAGGAAGAGGAGAACAAAAGCACTTGGTCCAGGAACCCCTGCTCAAAAGTTACATCCTCCTCTCCCACCCTTATAATTGCTTCCTTAAATGTATCGACAATTTACAGAAACTTGCCAACTAATCACAAGCATGATGAGGATCAACAACTTACTTCTCATCCTTAAGTTCTATCTTTTTTAAATATTCATAGTCACTAATCATTATTTTTCATTAACCATAAATATGCTGATTATTTACTCTACTTATTGTTTGTTCCCTAAAATGTCAGAAAACGAATGAAACATCTCCATAATTTCCACCAGATCAGTTTATCAAAGTCCAAAATCTCTTTCTTGCTTTGTTTGAAACACAAGGATTTTTATTTTAATATAATATAAAAACAGAGAAAAAAAATCAGGAAATCCCCATTATTTTAAAACAGCAGTTAAAGATATTTTCGGATGAGAGATTATTACTTACTAACTACAAATGTTAATCGGTTTTCAAACATACTGTCCGGATATTGTTCTTATTGATAACTCAACTTCTTATCTTTGCAGCACTAACAGGTACAATCCTTCAGTTTAAAAGTAAATATCAAGTTACAAATCTTTATTTCAAGTTAGCTACCTGAGTCTTTATCAAAAGCAGAATCACTCAGTGAATAAAGCAACCAATACTTAGAAAAAGAGCACTTACTCCAGGTACTCCAGCAAACAAAGAGGTGACAGAAGGCTGACTGTCAGAACTGGTTCTTCAGCATGTCGGTCCTAAAGGAAATGTTCCACAGGCATCAACATACAGGATGAGTGTGCACACACTGTGAGCTCACTGCTGCTGCATCACCACTGTGTGTGTGTGTGTGTGTGTGTGTGTGTGTGTGTGTGTGTGTGTGTGTGTGTGTGTGTGTGTGTGTGTGTGTGTGTGTGTGTGTGTGTGTGTGTGTGTGTGTGTGTGTGTGTATCATTAGGGTGAGGTAAAGTGGGAGAAACCAGTCACTGCGTGAGTCTGGAAGTGACTTCTGCATTGTTGGCCAAATATATATGGGGTGCCAAACTTACGCAACATGAACCTCTGAGTGCACACAAACATGTTAGCCCATACTGCTTTTTATCCTGATGTAACACCATAAAGACAAGGGAAAGCGTATCTGTGTACGTATTAACTATATGAAAAGCATACGTGGGTTACAAATACTTATTTAAACAGACTCAATAAATATTGTGTTGGAGATGCGACATGAGTTGAGACTTAATCCTTATTTTGGTGAGGCTAGCTGCATATTTTAAATAATGAATGATACACCCGAGCTAGCTGTCAACAACAAAACCATAAAACAGACCACTTTGAAATAAAATACCAAAACTAAGTTAATAAAAAAGACACTATGGACTGTCGAAATAACAAAGCAAGTATTTTAGGTTATGTGTAGCACATTTTTGACTTGACATGAGTGCTAAGTGAAGCTAAAGGACAAGAGGCAGCTAATGCTAGGCCTACCTGACTTACCTGAGCTCAGGTGTAACTACATTTCCGCCCCACCGTACTCCTGCCACACTGATAAATAAAGTTCAAGAACTATTCGTGTGGCACTGGAATAAAGTGTAACTTACCCCAGAGAGGAGAAATGAGCCTGAGTGCGGAGTGTAATATCCTGCAGCGAGAAAAGAGTTGAAGTATTTTGGTAGAGTTTCGGGGGAGGAGTCGCTGCTGGAGAAATCCACTTCAAGGCAGACAGAAAGTCTTTCCGCCGCTGAAACTTCCCTCTCTCTGGCTTTGTAGGATTAATTTTCTCTCAGAAAAGCCACTTGGGACACAGTCTCGTTACACTTTGCGGTATATTCCTGTCCAGAGGATCCCGCTATAGTTCGCTGATGCGCGGCAGTGGAGAGCAATGGTCGCTCGGTTCTCTCCGGGCACCTGAAATACTGGATTAGAGATGTTTTCAGAGCCGAGATGTCAAACCCCGCCTCTTCAACAGTGTATTTACTGCAGTCTGCCATGCTACTGTACACCGCTGCCACAGCCACAGCGCACACACACACTCACACACACTACAGCGCCAACTCTGCTGGCAGCCTCGTTAATGTTGCTTTATGGTGCAGGGGTTTGCAGTTAGCCAAATACAACTCTCTAACTGCAAAGCTACAGCATATGCATGGCTGAAAACATGTTTAAAAAGTAGCTGGTGTTTCAAAATGTCCCCTATAATATATTTGGATGTTTTTATTTTATTGTTGTTGTCTGCATATCTGAATATATGCGTGCATATTATTTGTAAGTAGCATTGCAGCAGTGTGGTGGGCACATGGCAGTTAGCCTACACTTTGCTTATTTATCCTGACGTAACTGCATTAAAACAGTGAAAAGTGGGATTTGTGTATGTAAAACATGTTTATGGGCTTCTAAATACATATTTGAAAAGACCTTCCAAATATTATTTTGAAATCAAATCTGAATACAAAATTAGATTATTAATTTAAGCCATATTTTCGTTACTCTACTTAAATGTGTTGCTCTATCTACTACATTATTATTGTTTAACTCTCCAACTGCATACAATACATAATTTAAAAACGTGTTGGTATCTAGCTTGTCTTAATAAACCGCACAATCAGGGGAAATGCATTTCGATATTGTTTTGTTCGTGTGCATCAGGGATACCAGCCATAATATCTTCTTGCATATATTTGCAAATGAATGAGCATTGCAGCAATGTGTTGGACAATGATTGAATAGGGGTGTTAAACATTTACCTGCCTGGTTATACCCCAACAATGTGAAGACAATAACCCTGATGATTATGAACAACTGGGAGCAGAGGAAAGTGATGTAAGACTCTTGTTACTCAAACACCATCTGCCTGATCCAGTTATATAAAGAAAGCAATGAGAGAGAGACGTGCAATTAAAGCTTTTCTCGCCTTTCTGAAGAGACCACTGAGTGTAATAGCCGCTCTCATGTTTCATTGCTCAAGGCAAGGCAAGCTGACCACAGTTTTATTAGGAAAGATTATATTAATTAAAATAAGTAGTTTGGATTGCTTCCACAAGAGGGCATATTATATCGGATATATAATTCTGAGGCCATAAACTATACTTTCTTATCCTGCATTAATTTATTTGCAAAAACAGTATATTAAGTTATGCAATGGCTCTGGGTTAACCTGAATATAGAGTAGAAATATAGCCAACTGTTGGAATCCATCACAATTTATATATAACTGATTGCCCTTGCAAGCATGCACACATTTAGCTATTTGGACTGATTGCCTGAAAGGAGGACTCTCTTTAATATTCCAAATGTATTTTTTACAAATTCCAAACTGGCTTGTAAATAATCATTGTACCAATTAGCTTGCCATTTAGATTGGCAATTATTAGACAAAAATCTGGCTTCAAATCAAGTATAGCCATTATTTGATCCAAGCTTTGTGTAACAGGGATGTTTCTTTCTTAAAATTAGCACAGTCACTCATTAATTTAGAGGAAACGGCAGTCACCGAGTGGGTGGGGTCCAGCCTTTCCCCAGGAAGTACTTAAAGAGCCCATTGAAGAGACAATACCATTTCCCTCCCTGCATATTTCCTCAAGGGACATATAATGCTTCCTCTAAAAGTGTAAAAAAGTTAAAGAGTGTAGTAATAATTAATTTGAGTGATGTGGGCGTTTAAGTGTTTGATTTACCTTGTAAGACCACTCTGGTGGGGTGATGTTAAAAGATTAACAAAGAATATATATTTGGTTGGTGATCTGAGAGGATTCACATTACGATGTTGGACATTCCCACCGTGGCTGAAGGCTTTGAAGTGGTGCCAATGAATATCTTATACTCCCTTTAAATTATGGATCTGACGGCTCAAACAGATCAGTTCTTTAACAAGTTCCACAAACGTAAACTTTATTTTTCTGACCCCAGACAGCCTGAAGCTGCTGAATCTGACAATCTGCACCTGTCAGCATTACTCTGAGCCAAAAGTCTAAAAATGACCATATCATTGCACTGACACATCACTGACTGCTGCCATGCACTCTGAATGACTTCTACAGAAGAGGATCTCCTTGGTTTTCTGAAATGATTGTACAGTGTTACAGTGTTCAATCCTATTACAAAGAATATTGGGGGATTTTGTACTTTCTAAACAAGACATTTAAAGCATTTGAGAAAATAGAATTGACGTTTTTTTTAAATAATCTAGAAAATATAATTGTAAAATGAAGCTATCTGTTTAACTCTCTAAAAATGAGATCAAATTGTTCTCAAACTCAAGACTAACAGCCCAACAAACCCTACACAAGTTAGATGCTACAGTAAAGGGCATATTTAATTTAAGATTAATTAGCAAGACTTTGCCAGCTCTGCAAGGAGAGTGTGCACAGTGAACGCCCCGCTGAGAGCCGATGCCACCGCCCTGACTTCTCACCTTGAAAGCCCCAAAGAGCAACACAATATCTGCTGAACACAGTAATAAACAAATGACAAACCCTCTTTGTCTTTTTATTATTCACCAGCATCAACAACACACACATCATGTTTGAGTTTACTTTTAATGTGTTTCTTTCTCCCTCTTGCTGGCTGTCAATGTGTTTGTCTGTTAGATGGATTCATTGATGTTCTTGATTGGGTCACTGAGCAGCTAAATTCCATTTCACCCCAAATGTGCTGTACCAGTTGAAGTGGGATATTTTTAGCACTGTTGTCTGGCTTTTCAATCCATACTTACTGGATTCAAATGGAAAGTGGGGCAACACTACCAAAACAGTACAACTTTTTCAAAATAAATCAGCTTTGTCCTTTTTAGACCAAAGCCACAAAATGAACCACACAATGTTCAATTATATAATTAATCTGATTAATCATAAAGCAAAAATCAATTTCATTAATATTTTCTAATGGGAAAGCGTGTATTGTGGGAAGAAATATATTTGTTCCAATAAATCCACAGCTTCTTCTGCTGCTGCTCTCTTCTGCAACTAACATTTAAGCATCTAATTAAAATGTAAACTTAATCTGCTCCTGTCTCAGCCAGGGTAATAATAAATGTTCTAGTTTGTGTGTGTGTGTTTTTGTACACACACTCAGAACTGGTATCATGGGAAATGCAAATAATTCAAATGGAACAGCTTGTACTAATGAAAAGAAATGTAAGGACACAAGTTTTCCTGACCACGCACGTAAACACAAACAAATATGGATATTTGTCGGTAGTGTTCAAACTGTGAAGGGTGAGCATTAACGTCACGCCACTTTTGTCACTTTCTGCAAAAATTGCACAAGGTGGAATGGCTGAACAAAACAAAGCTTGTTATGTTTTCTGTGCACACCAATCGTTGTGTTGCTATTGAATTACTACTAATGAGGAAGCACACAGTGGTGAATGCCCTGTTGTTACGTAAGAGATTAGACATGCTCCAACGCCACAATGAGGGCCACGGGGAGGCGTTGCTCTCAGGCAGTTTCTAATATATTTAACCGGATATTCAAATCCAGTAATAATGAGTTTTATAAAACCAAACCACTCTCAGTTTTTCTCAGTCAGCTCTTTCTGAGGACTTTTTGTTCTGTCCAGTACACTCCTTAAATGTAGCTTCTGGGAATTAATTTCAGTGGAATTTCAAAATAAGGGCCTGCAGAAAACACAGAATCACTTATAAGAACTTATCCTTTTGTACATCTTGTAAAACATTTAATTGAATGTGTGTCATAATGATGACTGAGCATTACCACAATCACAGCATGATTTCAAGAGGAAAGACTCTTCAGTGTGCATTTATTTAAATATTATATTAAATAATTTCTTCTTCTTTTCTAACCCCTGAGCAGAGCCGTGCTCATTGTTTTACTGCAGAAAAGTGGATGACATTAGCATCATTTTTTGGCAATTGACCATGTTACATTAATTCTGGAGTGCAGCCAAAGGGGTGACTGTGATCTATTTCTCTGCTGTGTTTGCCGTATCCACGGTAGCTGCAGCGTGCAGGGGAAGCATGCTGCTGCCTCACTGCTGTCTGTTAGGGAAAGTAAGACCCTTCATTAACCAAGATTAGGCACATTCATTATTCCTATCATCAAACATTAGCCATGTCCTCTCTTTCTTCGCATTAAAGACATTTAAAGCTGCTCTTTCTCAGCTATATCAGATGATAAAGCAGCGTTTCATTTGTCACCTGAAGGTCTTGGAACAACTTTTGTTGTGTTAGCAAGTTAATAATTCTCCATTGACTATTAACCAAAGAGAGGATGTTAACAAATATTGACCAGTGAGGAATATAGATGAGCCCCTGAGGTGAAAGTCAGCGACTGGATTACTGCGAGAGAACTAGGCTCTAATTGGTCTCGAGGGCTTTTGCAAGTCAACAGGAACACAGTCTTGAAAGTTCATTCGTCCAAACAGGCTAATTGCTCCCTGGCTGTGTGCATTCTTCCATAAAGTGGTTTCTACAGAGGGGACTCTCTTTGCACTTAACCTCTCTGCACTTGATGAAAATGAGTGCACATTGCTCAACAATCATTTTCTGTATTTGTTTGTTTATCTCCGACATATGTACACACAGACAGACCAAGCATCTGTTTCAGGATGACCGTGCGCAGGCATCCACTCTGCTGACACTGATGGATTGAGCATTTTCTCAGAGTGGACACAGTTCAACCCCTTGCGTCATTTCACCTCATTTCAGGAGAGGAATGTGTGCCTCTACACCCTTCACCTCACCTGCAACTCAACACCGCCCGCTGACCCCTGGGATGCTTTATTTTCATTTATATTTTTAGATATCCCATTGGGCTTTGCTCTTTCCTGTGGGAATGAACACCTGCTGCACACATCCATCAGGCTGGACAAATCCACCATCACATGACAAAGACATGGACTAAAATGTTGACACACCATTAGCCGTTTATGGATTTTGATGTCAGTATGGTCACTTTAACACAACATCACAAGGTTAACCCCAGATTTACAACATGTCTGGTAGAACATTTGAGTATAAACTGGACGAAAAATCTAACTGAAGACAATATGTGAACTGAAAACCTCCGACAAAGCAATACCATGGCCGTCCATACTCACAGAAGTGCTCCTGGGATATTGGTTGGTCAACCTTTCAGGAGTGTGTGTCAGCAGCAGGCTGCAGACTCGGGGCCCGCTGCTGTGTGTGCAGATGGAAACCCCAGGGACTTTAGCTTTAAACATGACAGTGAATGCCACAGCAGCAGAGTCGATGTTAACTGCTGATAAAGAGGTGAAGGCCAGCTGCTCAAACACACTGAGGGTACAACACATCAGAGGTCACGTGAGTTACACTCTCAAATTTGATGACTCGAGACTCAACTTGACAAAATAAGAAAGATTTGCAACTCAACTTGGACTCAAACATAAATGACTGGTGACTTTACTGAAACTTGGGAGTCTCTGCTTGAAAATACTTGATACCTTCCCATAAGTGAAAAGATAAGAAAAGTATGCCATGAATCATTATTTTCCTGAATCGACTACCATTAATGCTTTTCATTCCACAGTATATTGACACCTAATTACCCAAGTCCATTTAGTGTAAACTTATCTGATTAAATTGCAGATAAAAACCTTTATGTGGCTGAGCAGCAGATGAATGATACCAATAATAATTCTTTAAGTGTAGACAAAACAGTGTGTCTCAACAAAAAATGTATTGCAGTATGCAAAACATGCAAGTGAAATAAATTACAGACAGAGATGTATTATTACATTATTATACATTTCAGGACTTTGGACATGCAACGAATTAGCTGAATTATGTAATGTTGTCAAATCTTGTTTTGCAAAAAACAAACCACTTATGTGTTTGTGTTGTTTCTCCCTCCTATTAAAGCACTTTTAAAGGATTGCCCTGGATTTTAGCTGACCAATCCCCCACCACCATCACCTCACTGTCCCTGATGCTCTTATCCTCAGAGATTTAGGAGGACTAAGCATGTGGGGAGGCTCAAAGACTCCACAAGATTGCAGCTTCATCATTTCAGTGTGGGACACTCACTCCACCCAGGCCGCTGATTGTCCAGAGCCCTCACAGTTTAATATACTCTATGCTGTGCCATCACATGCCAAAGCAAACAGCTTGAGGGGAAACTGGTTATAGTCAATGATCGAATTGTCTGGCTCCCAAACACCCAGCCCTCCCTGATCTCACTGCCAATCATATTTCCATTGTTGCATTTGGATAATGGCTACAATCAGAGTTCACAGAGAGGTCATGCCTGCCCTTGATAAACTCGGCTCGATACTTGCTGTAGTTCTTGGCACACTGTGGGATGTTGGGTAGTGAACTCACCGTCCTCCTGAAGAGAGGAATTCAAAAAGGGAACGGCACATTCCTAAGGGTCTCCGACGGAGGCGAGGAATGCTGATGCTGGACTAAAGTACGTCTGGAGGAAGTCTGAAAGCATTTACTAAATCATTTTAGAGAAAGAGAGGATGTTAAAATGAAATACATCCTTGCTTCTAGCTGGTCAAACGCATTTCCATTTAAGTAACTTGCAGGATGAAGCGTACTGTTTTGTTACAAATGGGTATTCATTCAGTTAGGAAAAACTAATCCAACATGTATAAATCATATGCATCCACAAAGAAGAAGGTAAAGAAAAACATATAAAGGAAAAAAAAAACTAAAAAGAAAGTGATTTTGGTGTTGGACAGATTACACTAATCCCATTGATATTGAATTTAAGTCAATCTATGATAAGTATTCACAGGAGACCAATTTAAGTTACTGTTTATCTCCACATAGAGTTTTGCTGGATTTGTATGCAGTGCAGTACAATGAGTCAAGTGGTAAATCAATGTTTAAAATGGCAACACAAAATAAGAAAAACACCTTAACAGATTTGAATGAAGGTGATTTAAAAAAGATTCACTGACCTGGTATAACAAGCAGAATGAAATAATTGTTTTTAGGAGCCCTTCTTGCGCTTTGAAAACCTCTTCTTTAAAATGTCAAAGCACTTTTAATCACAGGTGAATGTGCTCTGCCTTTAACCTTGGACTCAAATGGTCAGTGATTACACAGAGAGATTAAGATACTGCTAACGGAAAAGGGAAGTGGAGCTTTCAAATATTTGAACTTGTCCACTCAGGCTTTCTTCACATAATAAAATATCACGGTTTTTAAAGAAGCAGTCAAAAATATGATTAGGTATTGAAGACAGTAAAGAGACACATCAGAGCAACTGTATTTCTCACACTTACTTTCAGTCAGACAGTACAGTCAGTAAGTACATAGTTTAGATAAGGACTCAGCAACTTGAAATTGAAAAACAGGCTGAATCATTGTGAATTGTCAGAACAACTCTTGTAAAACCTGTTGCTAACTTTCAGTCAGTCATGTTTGTTTGTTTGTTTAAGCCTGTAATGTCTGCAATGAGTTCTTAAGTGTTGTCGTAATACCATACGCGCAGCGCAGATAAGGAGTGGGCACAGCTCATCAAGCGTATGTGTCTCTCACATTAAAGGTGAGAGACACATCCTTCACGTCGTTGAAAATCATTTAATTTGTCAGGCGTGTAACCTTGGGACGTGTCTCACATGTATCTCTGCTCTCTCACACCATGCCGCAAGTAATGGCTTAGCATATCACTTTAACACACATCGTTCACTCAAGTGCTCCTTCAGTGTCGCTCACACACTCAATGTGAAATGATCACCAGGGGGCATGCTGTGGAGTAAGATACAGATGAAAAATAAAAAGAGAAAAAAGTTTGTTGGTTCTACACAATTTTATTGAGCAAAAAGATAAAATACTCTTATGCACATTCATATACAATAAACTACTCCAGTGGTGTCCCTGCCTACTGTACAGGATCATTCAAGTGCAACAGCTTACATCCCTGAGAATAGGATGCTGCATACATGGCAGCATGATAACCTGACAGCAACATATCACCCCCCCCCTCCCGGACCTCTGTGAATCTCTGTGACCTCACTCTGCGTTCAAAGGTCGTCTGACTCAGGGATGAGCGTGGGGTCGAGGGGAACAGCGGGGAGGGGGAGTGGATCGCCTGTCGACACCCAGCCCAGAGCGGATCTGTTGAAGGAGGGTCGATCCTCCCCTGCGTCGCCCTGCAGCTCAGGACACTCGGAGAGGGGCTCAACCTGCAGGGTATGGATGGGCACAGGTCGGGAAGCCTTGCCGAAGCCCCCGAACGGAGTGGCCACCCTGGAGGTGATGGAGTGACAGCGCTTTAATGAGAGGGACTACAGTGACATCTGAAGTGATCCGACTAATTAAAGACAAACAAAGACTCTGACCAGAGGACTAAGAGAGCTGCTGTTGAGAGAGGAGCTCACTTTGATTCATTTTAAATTATATGAAGGGCAGTACTTTTTGTTCACTCAGCATGTGTGTGCAACTTAAAGCAACTCAGTGTCAGTTTTTATATCACAAAATGAGTCAAAATGTCCATATATCACACCCTTACTCAATTCAATCAACCTTATCCCCTACAGAATTACATTCCCATACAACTAAAAATCTTCTTCTGGTTTACACTTGCAGTTTGAAACATGTAAAGGTTGGAGATTGACAAAAACCCAACAAAACGTGGTTAGGTTGAGTAAAAGATGATGGTTTGGCTTGAAATAAGCAAGTGTGTTCACATCACATATACATGTTTCTCTGTTCAGGAGGGGTACATCAGAATACTAAATAACCCAATGACTACTAAATACAAGCACAATTTGCAATTGAAAACTCACTATGAGTAAGCTGATTTAAAACAACTCATATACTGCATTGATGTATAATTAGAATTTAGAATGATTACTTCTTCATATTACCTCTTTTAACATCATCCCATAATCCCCAACGTTACATAGGCTCACTTGAAATAACAAATATGCTTAATTCAGTTGACATGCATCTTGTAGACAGTAATATTATTGAATACTTGCTGTCCAGGTGTGAAGTTGTTACCTGTTGAAGCTCTTGAAGCCCGGCAGTTCAGGTCGTGGCTCGGGCTCAGATAACTGGAGGTTCATGGTCTGAGCCAGGGAGGGGTCACTGATGATGGCCTGCTGCCAGGGGGAGTGGTAGGACTTTGGCACAGATGTACTGTTGAACTTCTCTGGAGGGATGTCTTTCAGAGGACCCCCGTAGCCTGCAGGGTGTACAGCAGAGACACAGGGTTAGTTAGGATACACATAAACAGAGCTTAAAGAAACATGCTGTCCCAAGACATTCTTCTCTTTGATTTCCTTTTGTGAGAAAAGCTCACAGAAACAAAAGAACAGGAGTGAATGCGTCTGCTGGTTTATAACCATATGATTTTAAAAGTTACTGAATGTAAAAAAATACTTCTTGTTACTACATGAAGTATTAAATGCAATTGAAGCATTGATAGCAAAAGTTATATCATTATATTTTTGATTTGGATGGCGATATCCTTCAGTTATGTTCGGTTTCTTTCCATGATTTGATATTGCATACTATTCTAAACATAGGTGTTTAATAGTTAACTTTTGCACCACGTTGTACAATGTGCGTTGGCAAAAAAGTTAAGGAGAGATGGATGAGAGACATTTTCAGGAAAGAGCGGAATTTGGTAGAAAGTCGATTTTTGTATAATTTGCATTGAAATGTCTTAAAACATCAATGTTTGTTCATATTTAAATAACTAAATAAAATATGTTGTTGTTAACATGTAGGTCTATATAACAATAGAAGTGTCTTTTTTCCCCTGTATATGTTAAAGTTCACAGCAAAACAAATGAAGGGGCCTCCTCGCTGTAATTCAGTGTGTTTTTGTGTGTGTGCGTGTGTGCGTGCGTGTGCGTGTGCGTGTGTGTGATGATGGGAAAGGCCTTTCCAAAGCACTATCCTTCAAACCCGGGTGCACTCAGGGGGGCTCTGCCTGCTGAGCCTTACATAATGTGGGGCGTCGTGTCACGTCCTAACCTCTCACAGAGAACAATCCCCCTTCCTGGGTTTATGTTCTGCCCGAGGAGGAAGCAGGAGAGACCAAACACACCCGCGGGGAGGTGTACGGAACTCGGGGAGAGGAATCTAAAACATAAAAGATTTTCTGAGGCCATGGAATATTGTTCCTGTGGTTGTACATTTGGCTCGGTTGATATTTGTGTGGGAAAGGACTGTCACACAGTCTGTGCTCTGTGTGTGGAGATAAAAGGCCTGAGAGAAACAGCACAGAGGCTTTCTGTGCAGAAATGTTCTTTACAGCTTTCGAAAACATTCAAACGTGGCAGAATTTTTTATGACGGCCTCAAGCAGACACTTATATCTTTGTTTGGAGAATGGTACGAAACAATTCAAATGAGCATAAATCTATGTTACATATATTTGCTTATTCCTAAGTTTGACTTATCTCGATTTCATCTGTTTTCTATTTCTTTTCATGTTACAAGTATGTTGCACTGCAGAAGGAGTCTGTTCAGATTTTCATTGCCAAAACTACTCTGCAGCTATTCTGCTCATGACAATAAAAGCCTTTGGATCCTTTTTTGAGGTTCTAGCAGCTATGTGTCCTATGGTTAATTATCATAATGTTGTTTCAGCATCTTCTCTGCCAATTCTTGTCTAATTATAGCTATTATCTAAAACATATCACTGTAGCCTAGTAGAAATGTTTTGCAGTCGAGGCTTGGAAAATGCACCCCTGGCTGGAAGCTATTTAAAGAGTTCCTACCATTCGATACCTAATGCTGTCTGGCCTGATTTCAGAGTGACTTCGTTAAGATTGAAGGTTGGTGTCCGGTCCTGAGCTCCAGAAATAACAGCCCCCCCCCTCCCCTCGTTCAGCCTTTCACCTCCCTAAACCAGTATCGGTTTTGTGTCAACTGGGCAGAATTGAGCCACGAGGGAGGAAGTGAGTGCAAAGCTTGATGCTATCAGTGGCACGGGACGCAAACAGGAAACACTTCCTGTGGGTAAAACTCTTTTTTAAGAGATGGTCAAATCAGATTGTAACGAGGAGGAGGAGAGAGAGAGGAATGTGGAGGAGTAGCTCTGAAACAAAGGAAAGGGAGGAAGATAGAAAGGAGACAGGCGGGGAGAAAACCTGTAATCATGTTGTGACTGCACCTGGCAGATTCCAGGCTTAAAGAAAATGTTTTTCTACATGATCAAAGCTGCGTGAGTATACACAATGAGAAACAGTTGAATCCTTATCAAACCCCATGGCACATCCAGTGCTTTGTGGAGAGCACACAGTCTCCTCCAGGAGCTTTTGTACTGTACATTCATTACAGTACATAAAACACTTGCCAAATCATCCCAAACATCTTAATAAATCCCAAACTGTGCGCGATATAACAGAGGCTAAAGTAGATAAGATGCTCTGCTCAATGGAAAGGAGTTCCTGGTGTATATAGGGAGCAGGGATGACATAATTCGTGTATGCTGACCCGAAAGTTAACATCGGATGGGCTCCCTCGGGAAAAGGCAGATGGCATTCTTTCTATTGACTAATGTTAGGCTATAAAGAAACTACAGCACGATCACCCGACTTCACGTCACCACCGCTAAGCTAAATGTGGCTTGACGACATTAAGTAGTCTCATTTAGACACAAGGTCACAATTACCGTTTTAACTTCACTTGTGGGGTATTTACTCATGTACATTCAAACAAACTTTGACTCCCACAGGAGGGAACAGGAAGAGCTAAAATGCTAACTATTTCTTGCACCAGTCTATTGTTCAGAAACAGACTAAAGGTCACTGAGTGGGTAGAGGTCAGCTGCAGCACCTGCTTCGGGTTTCGGTCATTGAGCGGTCCTATCAGTTCTTACCTGGGGCTATGCTTTCTGGATTTGGCTTCATGGTCGTGTCAGGCGTGTCGTTTGGCACAGCAAGCGACTGGTTCACTTCCATGTTGTTCTCGCCGTTTTGGCCAGCTGTGGCACAGCCATTCTGAGTTTGCAAAACGATTGTGTTCTAAAAGAAAGGTAAGGCAAAAATCATTGAGTGGAAAGAAAACATCCAAAATCCACACTGAGGAGTTTATTTGACTAACTTCATGTATTTGGGTCTGTAGATTTCTCCTTAATTCAACTAAAGTTAGCATTATATGATGCCACATTTGCATAACAAATTATATAAATATTTCAGAAATATTATAATCCTCTGAATGTAAGTAAATCATTTGTATTAAGTGTAATGTCCATATCCATTACAGTAGCTAACATTTTGAATATATTGACCTTTAGTGTCTCCCCTAAACACATTTTTACCTGCATGGTATGGAAATGTAGATGTTTACATTTTCCTTTTTGATTTAAAAGGAAAAACGGATTATATTTTTGAAAGATTATTTAATAGGATTGAAAGCTCAAAAGCAAAACTGTAGTAACCTTTTAGTGAGATTGTCTAATCAAAAGATGCTCATGGCACAGTGGATTATTGTTTGATGAACAGCAAAAATAATGAATTACATCTGAATGTCGTATTTGGATCCATTAAATTAAAATGGAAAATATGATTTGCATGCTCAGTGACTCATTAGCTTTTTTTAGGTTTGTGTATTCTTTACAATGCTGCAGCTGTATTTTTGTGTTTTACAAATACAACAGAGACACTGTCTGTGTGCCCACTTTTCTCCAACATTACAAACATTGTTCTGCGGGCTGAGCAAAGCTTTCATCCGTCTGAAGGATATTTAGGATTATTAACTTTCTCAGGAAATGTTGACAACTTGAAACAAAATCCCTCCGAGCAATAAACAAACCAGAGATATTCTCACTTCAAAGATGAGTCCAGAAACCTCCCCGGAGCATAATAATTATAATCTATGAACTTCATGAGAGCCCAGACAAATACACAAAGCCACTACACAGCTAAATGAAAGAGGATTTAACTAGTGTTGCTAACTCATTAGATACAATAATGAGAAACTTAGTTAATTTATAGTACAGAAATTGCTTTATGTGTGACCAGGTAAGAAAGCTAAGATAAGCTCTTCTGGGAAAGAAAACGCCGACTTGGCATCAATGCACTAAAGGACATTAATAAGGTTTCTTATGACCATAATTTATAACTACTCTGTGCTGTGCCACTCCATGTGTGTACACGAGTCAAATAAACACTTCAAGTGCTCAATCTTTCCCACATATTCTATGTCCGGATGTAAGGTATTGTGTGAATGTTTTGAGTGATGGAGGGAAAAGATGTGGGGAAAAGGATAAATATTCCTGAAAAAAAACATAGTGCTCTGATAGTGTTACAGTCAATGCTTTATCAAAGTGTGTTTTTCAAATCCATAATAATGTACTTTGAAATGTGTATTAAAAAAACATCTACGGATTTAATTTCCCTTATAAAGAATTATAAACATATATAATCGTATTAGATTAGTTGTCTATACTTTAGATTAGATATACTCATGATTCCAATTTGGAATTATTATTTTCAGTTTTTAGGATTGGGATTTCTTTTTTTTTTACAACTTTGATTATAGAAAGCTTTATTCATTTATTTTTTTTGGATTTTGTTTTTGGGGGAACATTTTTATTAGAAAGCTACAGACAGAATAAATCCCATTGTCAGCCATTTTCTTAATGCTTAATATATGGGGGTGTCATTAAAATGCTTCAGAGTTGTGTTTCCCCATGCATATATGTTTTTGTATGTCTTCATCACATTGTCTTACATTGATCTGGATGTTGGTTTGGTTCTGGATGCTCTCGAAAGTGTATTTCTCCGAGCGTCTCTGGCGCATCTTGAAGAGGCGTGAGCCGCGGTTAGAGGCGAGGGAAAGCTCCTCCAGCATGATGTCCTTCGGCATGTTCACTTTTCTCCCAAGATCCATCTCCACATCTGGACACGAGCAGACAAACAAAGAGCTTGTGTGTACAATATAAACGTGTAAATTGATCTGATTTCTGACAAGACAAATGTATTTTCCTTTCTCCGATACTCCCACCTATCGAACCTCATTGAACACAAATTATATTCACACAGAAACAGCTCTGAACACTGCTGACTTGGTACTCCTGCCATTATGATGAATGAGCAATTATCTGCCCTCCTAATCCTCTCATGTCTGCTGCTTGTTTTGTGGTTAGCGTGCTTGCTACTGCATACTGATCATGGAGATGTCACAGACCTATGTCCAAGAGTGAGGCCAATAATTAGCCAGAATATCTCTCAGCTGTCAGTAGCCTTCAGGCCCTGCCACACAGTTGTCCTCGCCCTGAAATAGCGTGTTCAAACGGACAAAGGGATTAGTTACTTTGGCCCATAAAAACATTCATTTGCTTATTTATAGTCGTGTTCGTAGAAGGGAGGGTTGGCAGCTGCTGCATTGGTCAATGTAGGACTCTAACTTTCTATGAAGGCACGTGTGCAGCAACGGGAACATGTCTGAGAAGAATTAAATGTGTACTCTAAGCAATGGTGTTGAATCTATAAGGGAAATGTAGGATGGCAAGATGTGAGGAAGAAGAGAGAAGGTTGTCAAGTCATCTTTTGAGCTAATTCCTATCTGTTATTATACACATATAGTAATTTATATTTAAACTTTATACATAGTTTGACATAGATTGTGCTTTTTTTGTTGAGAACATATATTATATTACATATCTTTATTATGATAGTGATGACACAATTTCTTTGTGAGATTGTTTTGACTAAGATTTGAGGACTCATCAAAAATGACTAATCTTTAGATAAATATGTTAGAAACAGAAGCCGACAACCTTCTCATCCAAGTTGGGTTGGTATTCAAGATATTTGAAATGCTTCTCCTCAATTAGTAGCTTATTTCGGATCCACTCAGAACATCAACATCTGCATAAAACACAGACTTTATAACTTTATACAGTTTATGCTCTAAACGAAGACGTAAACATCCCACTAAGGGAATCTAACTTTGCACAATCTTCCTTTTGTTATACAGCTATCAAGCATTGGAATATGCTTCCAGCTAAGCATAAAACGTGCAAGAACTTAGCATAAAACAAACAAATATTGAGTCTTGTCAACAAACATTTTAAATTGATTAATTAAAATGTTATAGTTACTGATATGTGTGCAGGTATTTTAATTGTATAGATGTGTACTTTGATCTGATTTATAATTGTTAGTTTGATAGACACTTTGTAAGTGTTTGTTGATAGTTATGTGTGTACCTGCCCAGGGACTGTCGATGGAAATGAGCTAGTTCTGGCATCACTTCTCCATTTTGAGATGATTGTGTTTATACTGTATGCATGGTCCTTGTTTAATAATGACATAATAATAAGCAAAGAAAGGATGCAACAGGAGGAGCTGAGAGGTCAGAGGGATCAGGAAACAAGGAAGTGAAGAGGAAACGATGGAGCTACCTTCCTCCATGGATTGAACCTCCCTGCAGATTGCTGCCGCCTGCATCTTCCTCTCGCTGGTCGTCATGGTAGAGAACTGAGACATGGCGGCCCCTGAGGGAGAGGAGGGTGAGGCCCAGAGGAGACAAAGCCCATCAGTACAAGCTGTTCAAACACACAAAGAGACACAAAAGCAAGACACCAGGGCTGCATGTTGACCATCGATTGGACAACATTGAACACCCACACCACACGCATACCTAGAAGCAGATAGGATTTATTGGGGCAGTGAAAAGGGCAAAGTTAGCACATCCCTTTAAATAACCTTGGGCTGTTAAATGCCAAGCACATGCTCTTCAGACATGGCAACCAGCTGTGTCAGGGCTCTGGGAATCAATATGTTTGAAATTACACAAGTGGGCTGAAAGGACACAAACAGAGAACATGGAGTAGTCACAGCAAACACACACACACACACACACACACACACACACACACACACACACACACACACACACACACACACACACACACACACACACACACACACGAAAGTTTACACCGCGGTGTCAGAGAACACAAAGGTCTCATGTTCACAACGTTCCTTAAAGGAACAAAAGAGCTTTTCATAGCCGGGGTACATTCAACAAGCAAATCACTTCAGCATTAGGAAATCATTGGCTGAGCAGATAACAGGCTAACATGTTACTTTTATCTTCAATAAAATTAGCATTTTCCACATCAAAAATCCAAAGCAATACGAGACCAGCATGCATTCATAAAAAAATGTAAAGAAAGTAGAACAACTGACATGAGACGAGCTGTGTGACTGACAAGAAAATTAATCATGTTTGAGAGTGAGACAGCACACCTGTGGGAGGGCTTACCTGTCCTGAGGACCCTCAGGGAGGAGTCTGGAACAGCGTCTGTCTCCACAGGTAGGAAGTCAGAAAGCAGAGAGGGTCACACTGGGTAGTGGACCCAAGTGGGTGCTGGTGCTCCCCGGCACTGGGCTTGTGTTGGGGAGGGGGGCTTGTGTTGGGGAGGGGGACTGGATGAGTGGGTGGGTGTCAGTCAGACTGGTGTCATTGGTATTTAGTTCACAGGCAGAGGAGGGACTAAATTTAGACCACTACTGCTCACTCTGCTCTCCATGTAGCTGTCTCTATGCTGCCAGTATAAGATGAGATATATCACTGGTTTCAAACAGGAGGACTTAAACGTACAAGTATTTACATTAGATCAATCTGCATTATTAGATTACATTATTTCTTGTTGGCGTGGTGTATGAAATGTCAGAAAGAGTCCATCCCATTTTCTTGAAGTCCAAGGAGATGTCTTTAAATGTACTCAGTATCTCACTTTTATATGATATACAACAGAGAGAAGCATTCTTAAAAATGTGGATGAAAATTACTTAGGTGGTGATTCTTTTTCTATTTGATCAGTTGACAAATTGTTGCAGTTATAACTTAATGGGGCACTTCTGCAGTTCATTATGCGTGTATGAAAATGCTTTAAGATCAGATTAGAAAATAAAGGTATGAATTCATGTTACGTTCATGATAAATGTTAATAAAACCATCAAAGGATTAGACATCCATCTTCTGTAAACCCAAATGATCTATCATGAACGCACGCATAACCAACGTAAACATTCGTTGATTTGTCTGAAAGTGATTATTCTAACACAACATCCAGTTTATACATAGTTGTGCTTCATATGTGGAAACAATACAAATTGTAATTATAACTATTTGCATCTAAAGAGATCAATAATCTGTTGCAATCTTGCAACATTGGAAAAGCACCTCGGGCTGAAAGCACTCTTTGAAAGCACTGACAAAGCTTTAACATCACAAATAAATCAGTTTTAGCTGCAGTTGTCTTCATCAGTGCACAGCTTAAAGTAAATATATGCAGGGCCATAGTGTGGGAACATGCCCCCCCTCAGGGCCTGCAGGGTAGTCACATACTATTAGTTTAAAATGGCATCATGTGATATAGGAGGCACACAGGCCTAATGGGGTGCACTCACTTTTTAATCCATTATAATGTTGCAATTGACCTTAGTAAATGTTATTTAAGTTGGTTAAAGAGATAAATAAAGGCAGGTAGGTTGAGCAGCAGCACCCATCGGGGGAGAGCATGAAGAAAGTTGCAACAAACTTCAGACACAACAATAACTTCTTAAAATGTGTGCACACGGTCAATCCACCACTTTAATAGTATTTTTGTATCAATTATTAGGGAGATAATGTATGTTTATCATCACTCACTGAGTCCTTATCTTGTTTGCAATGCTACAGTAGATACTCGCTGTAGTTATGTAACTGGTTGTCACCATGGGAACAACCCCCACCCCTCCTCCCCCTTACTGGATATGCAGTGACTGTTGAAGACAACACATCATACAAACAGCTTCATGGGATGGTACAGAGAGCAACAAATGGCTCGGAGCCAAAGAATGTCATGCTCGGAATAAAAAGCAAAGAGCACAAACACACTGGGCGATTGGTGAAATGGTGCGATTTGGTTGTATTTATTTTACTTTATGTGAATTCATATCAAAACAGAAATGATTACTGGTTTTGTGTTATGGCCACAATGCGTTTATCTTTGATGATTACACTGCATTGCCTCACACAACACAAAGCTGCGTGATAAACCTTATTTATGGTTATGAGATTGCTCGGTGAGAATCACATTAGGACATTATGTACACTCTTTGGAAAGTAGCTTAAAATAAAGCAACTCATTACAGATCCTAAGCAATTCACCCAGTGCCAGTAAACCCAAGATAAGTAACCCATCCCTCATAGAACGAGTTACCAAACAATCCTAGGGAAAGTTAAAAAATTCAGCTTTTCATCTTCCATGGTTTAATTAAAATTCACCTGGTAAATAAGTGAATGTATTTTAGAGCTCACACAACATGCTGAGTTATAGCACTAACCTTTCCCCAAGTTTTAAGCAAACTAATTGGATTCTGACAGTGAAATGTTTAGCCGACCTGGAAACAGCAACTCATTCTCCAATTTTATAGATTCAAAATCACCAAAAATCAGCAGGTGCCCAATCACTGCACACTAAATACTAACATCTACATAGGAAATGAGCAGAAAATCCAAAATCTCAGAACAAACTATTTAAGGGATAATCTTCACTTCAGCTTTCTGGTAGGTGGGGGTCACTGTTTTACTATCTTTCATCCTTACATATCTTCTGAAAGAAAAACTAAACATTCAATAATTATCTCCAGATAAACTCTTACTTAACAATCCATAACATCTTCCCACTTATTTTGAAATAAACATGTCCATTCAAACTCATTCTATCCAATCTAAACAACATGCTGTTACCTCATCTGATTAACCCACTTCAGAGTATTTACCAAACTACACAATTGCTACAACATAAATTATTTTTAAGTCTCAATATACTGTTAGCATAATCATCTCCTTTGCAGGAAAAGGGCAAAAAATGGGTGGAAGCATTTAAAAATGTTTCCATTTTGAGAATAAAAGTCAAAATATTGATACTAAACCTTTGAGAATAAATCAACCGAAAGCGTTTTCCCTTATGCCAGATCCTAATTATCTTCCTAACCCTCACTTTTCACATTTCATTATGGCATGCAAAATGTATTTCATACTAGATATTTAACAGAAACATCTATCCAAACGTCCACTTAATTATTTAAGAGCTCACTCTGAAACTGTTAAGATTAATTAATAAAGTAAATGCATTTAGTGAAAGTTTGGATTTTGCCCATCAAAGGATCCTACCGCTTCCAGCTCCAGATGTTGCCGGTGTACACAGACTTGTACGTTTTTTTTTCAGTGCCTCTGTTGAACATGAAGGAGGACCCCGAGGACCCCAGGGGTTCCTGAGTGACTGCCCTCTGAGGCTGCCACTGTCTAGGGAGAGACCTGTACCCAGCAGGCTCTGCAGGAACCGGGGCAGAGCTCCTTGTGAGGGACCCAAACCACGGTAGCGGGCCCCGGCTCTGAGTTCGGCTCTGGCTCTGGCTCCAGGTCTGGCTGCCGGTCCTCTGCGGGGCCTGGTATGACGAGCAGGCCTTCCACTCTGCCGGCGGCTCGGGCAGCTTCTTGCGTTGGGCTGCCAGGCGTATGTTTGTGGCCAGGCTCTGATGGAGGTTCTGGAGACAAAATGCTTCATCCACCAGGCCCAGGGGGTGCCGGGAGGCGGCCTCCCAGGGCATGATGGGTCTGCGCCCCTTCTCTAGCCAGGATGTCTGGCTTGTCGGGGGGGCGGTGGAGGCCCGAGCTTGAGGCTTTTGGGAGGCAGCAGACACTGACTGCTGGCCCATGGATGGCACTCTGGCTAGAGGGGAGAGAGAGTAGCTCCTGCCAAAAGCCTGCAAAGAACGAAGCAGACATGTTTGTTTTAATAAGGGTTCATTTATGTTTGGCTTGCAAAACGTTGGAAAATAAGTAGCCCTCAACACATTTCTGTCAGAGGCTTTCATACTCAACAGCAAAAATAAATGTCTAATTTTGTTCTCTGCTTTGTTGTTTTGTGTAAATATTAGAGCAATGTTAAGAATTGACAATAGAATGTTAAATGCTAAAGACCTAGTAAACTTGTTTTTTGAACTTGAATTGTCTATTCTACAGTAAGCCTCCACAACAGTGCTTCAGTACTTGTCCAAACAGTTGTTCTCAGAACAACCCACTGTGAGAGTGCATGCTTCCCAGAATACACCACAATCAGCTTGTTTTCATTAGAACTGCTGTGCCGTGCAACAGTACTTTGATAGTTAGTCGATGAGATTGTGAAACATATAAATGCTCAATACTAACATTTCCATTAGAGCAGAAAGCTAAGGGTCGTGTGGGGTAACAAAGCTCCTTTATTGTTTCTGACTAAACACACAGTGGTTATTAGACTATCCGAAAAGGCAGTGCTGCCATCATCTGGTGAAAGATGTGTAAGATCAGTAGACAGCCAGGGGAAATGAAAGAAGAGAATAGGGGAGAGTGCAGTCATAAAAAGAATGTAGCTGAATGAGTGCAGAGGGAATAAATGCTCTGCTGACTCCTGCTGTACTTGAGGCCTAAAGAGCCTGTGGCGGTTTTATCCTGGATTAGAGCAGACACAGGAAGCGATGGAGTAGATTAGTGGATGATCTACGGATATATTTTCATTCTACTAAAGGAAAATGATGAAACAGTGATACTGTATATTTGCCTGACATTGTTCATCACCATGCTGCCACTCTGCAGATTTTCACATAAACTATATCTCAGAAATGGAGCTGAGCATCTTAAGAGTAATATGTGGATGCAGACGCTTTTGTTTTGAGACAGGTGGTAAATAATCTCTTAATTCTAATTTATATTATGGTTTTCTTTGGGGAACCATGGTCCCCAAACCAGTTGTGGTCTTATTTTTTCTTTCATGATTATATTTATGTCTGAGACAAACATTTAGATATATATGGCAATTCTAACCTTAGAAAAGAACTGCTCTCTCTGAAAATGCATGACAGCATGGATATATATTTCAGAAGGGGCCACTCACTTGACCTCCAGAATTGTCCAATGAGGTCGCCTGCACCCATTGAAGCCAGCAGTCTAATAATATTCTTCATGAATGCATCATCAGTTAGTCATTCTGCAGGAATGTGCTTTTCAAGCATTCACCTTGGTAAGCTTTTAAAGTCGGTGATTTGGATAATGAGGTGATTCTGGAAGACGTTAACAAGCCCTACAAACTGTTTTTTATTGTTGAAAACTAATTTGACTGCTTTTGCAAAAAGATAATATAAGTGTTAGTCTAATGTGATGGTACTTGAGAAGCAACGGATTAAATGCAGCCAAATTCTTTGTCTGACAATAACTATTTATTCCTTTTTTTTAATAACTAATTATAGGTATGTATAGTGCATCAGGAGTAAGTGGTGAAATTCAGCAACATGGAAAGGAAAGAGACTAGAAATAGTTGAAAACCAAAAAGCATGCTCAAAGGACAAAAGAAAGGAAAGCCAACCAAGGATGAAATACATTTTAATGGCACTGCAGTGAATCATACAGAAAGTGCACAAAAAAGAGAAACACACAAAGGAAAAGGAAAAAGAAAATAACTTAAAAAACAAAAGCAGCAAAATACTTGTGAACATCAATGGGCTGGTTGTCTTTTTTAATAATTCTTCATTTGTGGATCATCTATCTATATTATACAAAAGCCAGAGAATATGTATGGAAGAGTGTAACTACATTTGGTAATACTATATTTCTGTTATCCAGGACGTAGGTATAGTAGCTTTCACTGGCTTAATTTGAAATGTAAGCTTACTATCTCTGGACCTCAGCACTCCTCCCATGAGGCAGTTTAAATATAGTACCTAACATGATGCAACAGCTGGGGAGAAGCTTAAAATAAAACTCACCCACTTTAGTAGACGCGACGTAAAAGCCACTAAAATGTAACATCTACCATTTGAAGTTTAGGCTAGTTACTTTATGTATTGCTGTATTCTCTCTGCTGACTTTACTTAAAACTGTGAACTCTGACATCATATCCTTCTGCTTGGTATCATTACACTTCACAGATTCATTGTGTCCTTAATAAGATTTGACACAATTAGCAATTTTCTTCTTTTCAAAAATCGAATTCCTGTTGTCACCGTCCGCTATCATTCCCTTCTGATACATTTTTTCCATTACTCCTTTCTTTCAATTCTTACTGAGCATCTTGCTCCCCTACATTCATATATTACCACCACTTTAGATCATTTGTCATAAAAGTACGTTTTAAAGTAATTTCTCTATTAACACGTAAAAATGTACCTGCTTTATAAACATGTCAAGGTCATTTTGGCTCCTTTGTGTCCGGTAAGATATACTTGCATCCCACTCTTACTTATTTGTTGTTATGTTGTGATTTGCATTAGCTTTTAAAATTGTGAAAACCACCAAGCTCTGTACTATGACAAGAGGTGGATATAAAGATCGCAAACGCAAGTTCATGTGCTCAAAATAGTCCACCTTGCAGTGGATTACAAGAGCACCAACCCTTTGACTCAAGCATGTGGTGATTGTACCAGAATCACTCTTTATCTGCTGAAGGCTTCCACACCTGAGCTGAGCTCTTTTTTGCCATGAACTTAGGTTTAGGAGCAGCTGCAGGGCCACCTAATGCAGATTCAGGCCTGGCAGCTACAGTAAAGCTAGAAACAACAAAGCTACTGGGAGGCTGCTGTTGGTAAGGTACTGAGGGCGCTGCCATGTAAGGCGGGCTGTTAGCTGGTTGGTAAGGGGCCTGCGGGGGCTGCGGGGGATGTTGGTACGGTTGGTTTGGAGACTGAGGAGCTTGGGGATGATAAGCAGGGGGGCCAGGTTGCTGATACTGTTGGTTATAAGGTTGCTGGTATGGACCAGCAGGGGGTTGTTGATAAGGGTTGGAGGGGGGATAAATATTAGCTGGGTGTTGCTGGTAGTGGCCATCATGCATCATGGGCTGCATTGGCATCCCATAGCCTTGCTGGGGGTAAAGGGTATTATATGGTCCAGTTTGCTGGACGGGGGCCATCTGATCATATCTAATTGGTTGGTTTTCGACAGGTGGGTTAGGAGGTGAACACTCTAGCTTAGCTTGAGCTGCCTTGGCAGCCTCTACTGCTGGGCCGAAAGTAAAGAGTGAGGAATCGAGTTGATAGGGTTGATGCTTCATAACATCTATTACATTGAGGGGTTTAGGGGCAGGCTTTGGTTTCCCTTGGTCTTTTTTCTTGGCTTTGATTGTAGGACTAGTGGAAGGGGGCTGCTTTGATGGGGGATTCCAAGGGGACAGAATAGGGTTGTATGATCGTGAAGGAGGAGCACGTACGCTAGATGTGTATTTCCATTCATTTGGTAAGGATGCAACTGGTGATGGTGCCCGGGTTGCCTTGTTTGCTTCCACAGTCTCAGAGTCCACAACATATTTCTCCATACGAGACTGCCTCTTAGCGAACATATCAGCTCCTTTCCCTCTGACGGCTGGCATATCACAAGATGAACCCTGGGTTGCTGGGTTTAAGACAGTCGCCATTGGGTTGATGGGAGATGAAGAATGTTGACTGATGTTGAAAGAGTGCATTCGCTGTGGTGGAGTTGGAGGGCTCCTTGCTTGTGGGAGATTGTGTGGTGGTTGCCAAGGTTTTGGTGAAGGCTGAGTGTTTACCATTGTTGTGGAAGCACTCACAGGTGTTTGCTGTGGCTGTGGTGCCCAGGCATTCACAGGTGTCTGAGGTTGAGGCCATGTATTAATCGGTGGCTGTGGTAGAGAAGAGGACTGTTGCCAGTCTGGCTGTGACGCTGGCTGTGGTGGACCTGGTTGAGCCCAAGGTGGTTGATTTTGGGGTTGAGGTTGGGTCTGATTTTGCTCTTGGGCCCAAGAATTAATGGGTGGCTGAGCGGGTTCTGTAGGGTTCTGGGCCCATGATGGTTGGGACTGAGCCTGGGCTGGTACTGGCATCCATGGATTCACGATGGCTTGAGGCTGCGCAGGAAGTTGTGATGGGGCTGCTTGGATCCAAGGTGGCTGAACTTGGGCTTGAGTTTGTGACGGAGGCCATGCATTAATTTGAGGCTGCTGTTGAGGTGGAGCTGAGACCCAAGGTGGTTGAGGCTGACATGGTGCTTGCGCCTGTGGCCATGCTGGTTGTGGTGCCTGATGCTGTGGTTGCTGAACCCATGGCTGCTGTGGCTGAGATTCAGTTTGAATCGGTTGAGCCCAAGGAGGTTGTGCTTGGGGTTTCTGCTGCGGTTGTTGCATCCATGGTGGTTGAGACTGAGAGTCTGTATGTGATGGTTGTGCCCATGGAGCCTGGGGTTGCTGCTGCTGCATTGGTTCATGGGGTTGACCCCAAGGTGGTTGTGGCTGCGGCATATTTGGCTGCTCGTGAGAGTGTGTCCAGGGGGGCTGGGCCTGAGGATGAGACGGTGGTTGCTCTTGAGGTTGGGTCCATGCTGGCTGAATTTGAGGGTTCCAATTATTTGTAGGAGGTTGAGGCTGTACTTGGGTCTGTGCAGGTAGACGTGTCACCCAAGGTAGCTGGGGTGGCGACTGACTTTGAGGTGGTACCTCGGGCTGCACTTGAGCTGGAGGCCAAGAATTGGTAGGTGGCTGTTGTTGTGCCTCTGTTTGTGCTGGAGCCCAGCAAGGAGCAAGCTCATGCTGCGGGGGACAATTCGTATGACCATTTTCCTCCTGAGCCGTCACTTGCAGAGGCTGTTGAGTTTCAGGTTCTTGTAGAGCCCATGTGGGCTGTTCCACAGTGGGATTGCTGGCAGGAGCCTCCTGAGGGGCAGGAGGGGGGGAGGGCTCAGGGGCAGGTGCAGGGGTTGGCTCTAGTTCTGGAGCAGGGGTTGTCTCTATGGTGGGGGCTAGAGCAGGTGTGAAAACACTATTTTCAGCTTGTTGAGGCATGTCCTGGTTGATCATTTCTATCTGCGGTGTCCAAGGAGGAGAGTTGGGGTCGATCACAGGCTTTGGAGCTACAGGTGGAGGAACCTTATTTTTAATTTGTTGAGATTGCAGGAAATTACAAGCCTCAGCCCCAAGGCTAAGGTAGTCTTCCTCGCCTCCTGACTCAAAACCCAACTTCCTATCCTTTCTGTTGAGGAGGTTTAGCAGTGCTGGGTTAGGCGATACTTTAGGTGCTTCCTTAAACGAGAACATAGGCTTACCAGCATTTCTTCTCCTTGCGTCGGACAACACCCCAGTCCGACTCGCAGGGGTAGCAATGCGCTCATCCCGGGAGGCTATCTGCTCTCCTTGGCTCACAGAATCTTGATTGGTCCCACTCATTGCGGGAGAATAAGGAGCAGCCGCCATGTTTTCTGCAGCGAAAGGCTTTGCAGATGGATTACTGAAAGAACTCTGGATTTCACTGTGTTGATGTTGCACTGTGCCATTGATGTTTGTAGAATAGTGCTGCATTTGCTGTTGCTGTTGATATTCTCGCTGCTGCTGATACATTTGCTGCTGTTGATTGTGCTGTTGTTCATACTGCTGCTGCTGTTCATACTGCTGCTGCTGCTGCTGCTGCTGCTGCTGCTGCTGCTGCTGCTGGTATAGTTGTTGTTGTTTTAGCTGTAGTTGTTGTTGTTGTTGTTGTTGTTGTTGTTGTAGCTGTAGTTGTTGTTGTTGGTAGTTCTGTTGTTGCTCATAGTACTGCTGCTCCTGATATTGCTGGTACTCTTGTTGTTGTTGGCTTTGTTGGTGTATATTTACATCCATATAAGCATGGCCCTCTGTTGTGGACTGCATGTAAGTGTGCTCCTCCATCTTCTTTTCAATCAACGGTACTGCTTCCACGGCTATCCCCTGGCGCCTGAGCTCATCATGTTCAGCAGAAATCTCGTCCATCCTTAAACGCCGTTGAGCAAACATTGTAGCCCCCTTGCCCTGTGTGTCAGGCAAACATTCCATCTCTGCTCCGTTTTTCAGGTTCCTTTCAATCTCCAGAAGACCCTTGTCCCAGTTGATAGTTAGCACACTTTTGCCACTTTTGGCATTAGTGACGAAGTGCTTGTCTATTTCAGAACCGTTTGGAGCCACAAGGGTAAATTCAACAGTGTGGGTTTCCTGTGTATCCTCGTCCTCTTCGTCGCTGTACTCGGGTTCGTCTTCTCCTGTGCCGTAGCTCACCAGTGTGTATTTCTTGGCCCTCTGCCGATGTTTCTTGAACATCAACACCCCCTTGTTGTTGGGGTTAGGCGGAGCAGCCGACAAAAGGAGAGCAATACGTTTACATTTGGACTTGGCTTCCTTCACCTGCTTTTCAGAAAGACTCTCGCTGCGCCTGAGCCCTGTGTAGAGAAGAAAGTTCAAGGGTTAGGGAAATCAATAAAAATGCTTTGAATCCTAACCTTTTTTTTTATAAATTGCTGCTCCTGAATGTCTGTCCGAAAAGAACATATTAGGTCATTATATAAACTCCATTACTGTTATCACTCATCTGAAGAGTAAAAATAGAGCTTGCATAAACAACATGGTGACAGATGACAAAATTAAGTTTCGAACCAAAGTTAAGCAGGTCACAAAGCAATTCGTTTCAGTGTGTAATATTAGATTGATTACATCACTCTTCTGTAAAAATACGTTTTACCAAATGTTCATATTTTAAGCAGAAGCAGATATATTAACAGACTAACAATTGATTATAAGTGCTGTAAATGAACCGTGTTATAAAATAATATAACACAACTAATCTAAGCCATTAACTCTTTCCTTTACATTTCTACCTATAGCTGTATACTGTCCTAATTTGTACAGTCAGTTTAATATAAAACATTAACCCATATAGCCATCATTAAATCCTCTGAACCATGTCTAATACCCTTATTCATTCACAGACAATGAACTACATTAAATCAGTTGCTCTTTCCCATAAAATATCCAGGAATAGGAACTGAGAAAAATTAAAGATAGCCTGCATGCAATACATTCAAGAGGAGCAGAGCGTCTTGACTTCCTTATCTGTGAGTTCACATGCTGCCAACTTAAAACCTTCTGCTCTTCTCAAAGCTGCCACACTCACAAAACAAAGCCATTCTAACCAACAACGCAAAGCTAAAATAAAATAATAAGAAGGTTTCCTTTTTCATATTCCTGCAAGACAAACCTGAAGGTGGAGGAGACAGCGGGAGTGAGCAACTGACTCACTTTTTTAGCTCAGTTAAAGCAGCCAGTTTGAGGGGATCAGGTAACGGGCCAGTGGAGCACATGCTGGTGTCTGTCAAAGAGCCCCTTCTGCAGGCATCATCAGCGTGCTCCGGTTATATTTATGTCTTCTAACCAGCGCCTCAGTATCCACATTCATCAACCGGCCTCTTCAAATGGATAGATCTTTTATAAAGTAAAGCAGCCTCTTACATGTAATCAATTCCATTGATTCTTTATATCTAGCTTTTGTTGACTGTCACCATCCTATCTGCACTGTGTCTCTGTACTATCGCCGTGATTCAGTTGTAGTTCAGGTTTAAAACACGGAAGTATCTGCTTCTGTGAAGGAATGAATGCCAACCTCCAACTGCATTAAGAGACACGCACTATTTTAAGCAGCACACACTCCCACTTGGAATGCACACATGTTGTGCACAAATGCAATTTAGTGTTGACCTATTAGCCTGCAGGCCCCTCCTTCACGAATAGTTTAGCACTCACACACAGTGAAAAAAGGGTAATACTTCCTGGTACTTACTGGCATGTTTTGCCCGATGCTTGTTGGGTTTGTCTGGATCCCCCTCAGTCTCTGAGTCCTGCTCTTCTGCTGCTGTCGCCTCTTCTGAGGGAAATGAGACAGTGAAACACCCAGGAACTCCCTCACAGGGCCCTCCTCCTTCCTCTCTTTCACTTTGGGACCCACTGACCCTAGGGCCTCCCACCCTGGAGATGCTCCTCCTTGTTCCTGATGCGCCTGGCTGCTGCACAATGACCTCCACCTGCCCCAGCATGGACGGGGAGCTGAGCACCACCCCGTACTGTCCGAGCGGCTCCCTGGCAGGCCGTGGGACATAGTGCGACGTTATGCTGGTGGTGTGGATCTCCTGGACAACCTGTCTGTTGGAGGGTTCCCCCTCTATCCCCATAGCACTCCCCAGAGAGGTGCAGCCCACGTCCTCCAAAGTTGACTCGAACAGGGACACCTGGAGCTCCACCATGTTCCCAGGGGAGAAGCATTGCCGTTCTTCATTTTCCTTGAGAATAGGACCTTTCTGATCATCAGACGAGGGAGCATGGAGCTGGGTACAAAGCAGTTGGGGACTCTTGGGAAACTCTGTGTCCCCATAGCAGGTCTCGTCCTGGGCCTCGGATATGTAGATCTCCCTCGGGCTTTGGGACCTGTGTTGTGGGGGGAAGATGTGGAGGGTGGTGCTCTCTACAGCCTCACCAGAGGAGTCCCTCTCTGCAGCGTGTGTCTCTTTTGATTCATATTCTTCTGATGGGACGATGCAGTATCTTTCAGAGGACAGGGGAGAACAGAAAGAGAGTGGTGAAACTTTTCCTTTTCCAAGTTCGTCATAAGGGGAGATGCTACAGTTGACCAGGGTAAAATGTCTAACTTTTCACTAGCTAGAAATCTCCAAATTGACCAGAGCATGTACAAAAAAAAAGTTTATGCCTGTAGTCTTTCACTTTTAATATCAATAAGAGATGTCACTTCAACTTAATTAAACAGAACTGTAGACTTTTTAACTTTTCAGATTAATACGATATATTTTCTTCCTAAGAACCATCCCATTCATTATTTCCATTTAGATTTGCCCATTAAAAGACAGGTGTGATGTCCTCATATTTACAATATCATTTGAATAAGCAATGCATAATGAGGCCCCTGAGTAATGGAGCCATTTGATTGTTGATGAAGTAAAGTTTGTCTCCCATTGATAAAGTTGTCAAAGTAATCAAGTAGATTTAATGTTCATGCAGCGAGCTAAATGAAAGGCTCCGCTCACTGAAGAGGAAAATAATCACGCTTCACCATCGCTCTGCCTAATTTCCACTTTCAAGGTCAGTAAGGAATAGCACAACAGAAACTCATTATCCCCGACATCAATTATTAAATGTACGTTGATTAGACGTCAGTGAGTGCTAATCTTCTCCAAATGGGAAAGACATATTATAATACATTTTGATAAACTGAGGTCATCCGTCTACAAGTCTACAGAGATAAGTAGTCTACTACTACTCCTACTACTAATACTACTACTACTAATACTACTACTACTACTACTACTGCTACATTCAATAATAAATGAAACTTTAACTGAGACTTTAATGTCCCTCTGCAGTTTAAATGCAGGCACATCTGCCCCTTTTGAGGACACGTCCCCCTGATAAACACTTTGTCTGAGTAATAGCTGAGCAGCTGCACGTCAATCAGACACACAAATCTGTATCACCAGCGGAAGGTCACCCTAACTGACACACATTAATTCACAAATTCACACACAGACATGATTGCACTTGCATATAGTCATTGAGCCATGCTAAAGGCCACAGGTCATAAAACAACATGCTATCTAAATGCTAATATGGAGGTGCAACAATTATGTTTGCATTGCTGCAGTCCGCATGGCTCAGTGGTCCTGATACACATATTCTGTCATGTTACTGAACTCTCTATCGTTAATCTAACAGGTGATTTGTGGCCCTACCTTTTGAGCAGCAGCTGCAGACAGTCGATGGATGTGTCGATGAATGCACAGGCTCGTAACAGAGTGAGATCAGCACACGGCTCTCCGTTCAGTGACACCACCTCGTCACCTTCACACACTCCAGCCAGGGAGGCACGACCTTCGGCTTCCACCTGGGGAGGAAAACATTTAAGTAAGAAGACAAATAGATAGAAAAACAAGCATATCACATACTGAGTCAGTGTTCATCGTCAGGACACAGGTCAAGTCTATTATAAAGTAACAGTAACCTCAGCCTATGTTGATCATAAATAAAATATTGCCAGTGGCTACTGATTTCAAAATACAGAGAATTCTGGACCAGATTCCTGTCACAAATATATTTCTATCTGGTAAGACTGTTTTCTAGGTTATAAACAAATTGTAATTTCATGTGAGCAAAGTATTCTACTTCTCAGTGAAGCATTTTAACAAACTCCACCTACAGATGTAATTCTAACAACTTCAAATTTCTTCAGTAAGGCCTTTATTTTATTTCAACATTTATGTCCTATGCATAAATAAGCCAACACGATCAAAATCATTACAAATAAAAAGCCAAAAATGTCCCTAGGGAGGCATTGTATAGTTAAGTAATTGCAACAATTTGCTAAATGCACAATGTACAATCAACGTTACCAATTTTGAGGCTGCCAAATGATAAATAAATGTAATTTTACATTGTCTTTTCATCAAGCTGCTGCATAATATTTCTAAAGGCCAGCTCTGCACAATCCTGTTTAAAGGGCAGCTCTTCATACAGTTGAAGTAATGACTGATGGTTCCCTTGTAATTGGTTCCTGCGGCCTATAAAATGCTCTGTTGATAGGAGCATTTAATAAGGAGAAATACCCCGTCAATTCTACACAAGAGAAGTTTCCTGATTTCTTGAGATTGATTACTGCATAAAAATGTTTCAACACTAGATGGTGTTTTAGCACCATCTGCATGACATCTATAATGTATTTATTTTGGATTCAACAAACCTCTCTTCCCTTCTATTCATTTTGTGCAGGTGAACAATTGTTTTTGTCAGAATAATTTGGTCGGTTCAGGAAAAATAATCTACTATTTTACTAAATTAAAATGTTAAGTAAAACCCAGTCTTTTTGCACAATCCTCTCCTTACAAATGTATTAATTTGGAGTTCCTGCCACAAGATGGCAATGCAAACAAACACAAATATGTCTTGCTGCTGGAGGAAGAGATTCCCTTTTCTAAGTGAATAAGCTTAGAAAGACTGCAGTTGGCACCGAAAACACGACACTATTTACCAAGTTGCACCAATTTCAAAGGAATCAGATTTAGAACCACATTAAAACCAATCTCATTGAAACCATTCTCTATCTGTCTGTGTTTTTTTCTTTCAATACTTGTATAAAAAGGGCATATGCAAAACCAACCAACTTTTTTTGCAGTTTGCCACCATCTACACTACCTTAAACCATGAGTCTGAGGCAATGAAACGAGCCTACCTCGCTATACATACAAAAATATTTTACGAGTGACTTTATTGAGCTGGTAAATCTGTGACTCCATCTGAGTTTTTAAGAGTTAACAGAGTGCATGCAGGCCCTATAAGGCGGCCTGTGAGCTGGTCCATTGGGACACCTCATTACAGGGAGGACGGTTTTCTGGAAGCAACCTCCAAAAAAGGAGGGGAAACATGTGTTGTTGTCTCCTCGCAACACAGAAACATGCACAGGAGTTTGTCATGTGCTGCTGGTAATGAGAAGCAGGAAAGGATAGCAAACTACTGAAGGTGTCAGGAGAGGAAAGACTACTTTTTCAAATAAAGTGATTTCCAACAAGTCCCTGATTAGCAGGATTTACCTCTGACATCATGTGGGGCCGTAATTACAACCTTATCCTGGGCTGCCAATTTTCAAATTATCTGTTTAATAGGCTTCAACACAACAGAAAATCACAGGAAATACAGGCGTGCATGATGTGTGCACATAGCTGCCGGCAGTTCCTGACCTCACAGCTTTAAGCAATTACGTTTTTACATTTGAGGAAAATATTTTCAAGCTGCCTTACAGGTAGCATTTGGGAGGACGGTTACATTTAATGTTTTATTTACTCATTGAGTTCAAGTTTTCTTTTATTACCAGACAGCCAGGCCAGTGTTAGTAAAGATTCATGCTTTTTTTTGTGTGTGTGGAGGGAAACATTTTGAAAGGCCAGAGAGTTTACTTTAGTTGTTTTAGTTTTTTATTTCTTATGGACAATGAACAAAAAAAACGTCATAAGTGATTTTTATCAGCTTTAGCCTACCCCTGCAAACCGTTATAAACTCTTTGCAAACACATAGCACAGCATTTTTCTGAATTAAATTGTTTTAGAGAGTTTATTCAAATGTTTCAGGTCTCTTTATTTAATTTTAACTTGAGCAAACACACCTTTGCCAAAACCTTTCTTAATTCAGATTTGAGGAAGGCCATTGAGAAGCCTAAATAAATATAAATATAAATTATGTTTACTTTGACAACATGAATAGGGCATCAAACTAAATGTTCATACAGGTAAACTCATTGTATTCTATTCACTCCTGAATAAACAGTGCAACAAATGTTAAGATAAATAAACTACAAAAATGGTCCATTGGGTTGGCAGAAAAATACTTTGTCACAAAGCTGAAAACAAGGCTGAATTCCAGCTGGCATAGACAGAGCGCTCTGAGCCAGGAACACTGAACTCACAAATATATCATCTCAATATAAAGCTGTTGGTCTTAATTTGTTTACATGAAGGCAAATAGAAAGAGGAGAAACTAGCACAGTCATCATCTGAGGTCAATGCTTTCTTCGGGACCAGGATGTGGATGTTTTGCTGAAAAACACAATGCCAAAAACTGCAGTGAAGCACTTTGTTTACTCGCCTCTGAACGAGGGAAGCTATGGCATTTTGCTGTTTGCTTGGCGGCTTAATAAGGTTCCTCTGATGTTCTATAAGGACAAATCTGCAGCAAGAGGAGCCCTCTCTTCTCTGTGTGTGAAGGGTGAGATAACCCGGGCAGAGGGAGACCACTTTTATTACAAGATACTAGGAACAATAATAGTAAGTAATTGAGTAATTTGAATCAGTTTTAACTAGAGCTGCGAAAAGTGTATTGCGTCCTTTATATATAATCTTCTATTTTTGTTATAGATAAATGATTAAAAGTCATTTTTCATGCAAATGTCTTTAAATGCTGTTTTTAAAATCAGAATACTTTCTTCCCCAATTACTCTTTTTTAATCGTGTATTTTTGCTGGATAGAATTTAGTTGGCTTGTTTTAGAATATAAAACAACATAACCAGATCAAATTGATTACAGATTAAATATTTAATTTAAGTTTAAGTTAAATATGCACTAAAAGAATTGTTAAATAAAAAACAAATTGTAAATTTGTATTTTTATTAGATGTTAAGTGAAATGCGCAAATAACAATATACAGCCTCTCAATCATGGAGATTTGCCTTTTTCTCTGTTTCATATCATAATAGAGTAAATATCTATATGTTTTTGACTGACAAAACAAGAAATTTAGACACATCACTTTGAGAAAATAAAGTAATGTTGAAGTTAATTAATAATGAGAATAAGGTTAGTCTCTGCCCTAGTATACCTTCTGAGAAGTCTCAGACTTGCATTACTTTTTCTTTATTCACTGGCCTTAACTGATTTGATGCATGTTGACATTCCACATCCCAAGAAGGCATACCTCAGTAATTGGAGGCCAAAATGTATCCTGTTGGTAGGATTTAAGAGATATCTGTTTCTTATTAAAACAGATTACATCCAAAACTTTCACTTTTGCTGAGACAACTAAAACAAGCGTTACACTGTACATCAGCTGTAAATATTTCCATGTTTTTCTGAAGGGGCATTGGTCATTGGTCTTGCATTGTGTAGTTTCTGCAGCTTTAAAAAATAAAGTGACCTCATCCACTTAGTACTGAGGCCAGGACTCCAAAGAAGAAGAAAAATAGTGGCTCCCTTATATGGAGAGAAGCTTTAAGGAGTGGATACCCTGTGCCCTTACACTGCACAGTCTGAACATTCACTTTCTCTCAGAAAACAACACAGTTACACTCAACTGAAGCTTTAGAAAACACAGGAGAGCCTGCAGCTAAAGAAAATCTGTCAGGATGTTGGTATGTTTGCTTTTTTGACTTTAAACTAACAGACTTTCTTGATTCCTAACAGGAAGAGTTTGGAGATATGTTCAGAGTTATGCCTTCGAGATGACGTGGATTAAACCCCTGATTCCAAACACTGATGCATCATATAGCTACTTTACTTTAAAAGGTCATCACATATGCAGTGTATTCAAGACACTCTTAAAACATCAGTATTATGTCCAAAAATAGAAAATAGTCAAGTTTTAAGAAAAAAATAACACTGAAACAATAGAAGTTGGGGGGAATTCACCGATATGGGAACAGACTTTTACTGTTGTTTTGCCAAATAATCATCACTTGTGCATCTAATTTGTTATAATATGTTTAGAGAATATGTAGATAGAAAAGTGTCTTGAAAGCTTGCTTTGAAACTCAAAGGACTCATTGCTGTGATAGAAAGATATTCAATGTTGTGGTTCTGTCTTTTTGTCATTTTGTTAATAAAGTTCAATACAACTTTTGGAAATAGAGACTAACATCACATACAACTAACATTTATCATCTGTTTTTATTGTGAAATAATCTACTCACTTAATGCCAGAATCAATTACATGTTCTGTAATGTGTTTTAGCTACTTTGAAGCGTCAGGGGATGTGTGTCCACTTACTCAGTTAGAAAGGACTATTTCATGCCAACAAATGTTGAAATACTATCTATATTCATACAAAAATGTCAGTAAATGTCAGTTAGAGTGTGTCCTGAGAAGGATCTATGGAAGCTTTCAGCGGGCTCTCTGCTCAAGGAGCTTTGATGTCGCAGGAATGCAGCATAAGAAAAACATTTACACGTCCAGAACACAGAACAGGTTGACGAGCGATCTGTACAGCGTGAGCACTCCTGGACATGCATGGTATACCATATATAGAGATAAAGGCACCTATACCTATGTTAATGCACATTTACATCATAGCCTGATATATCAAAGCATCATCTGTCTTTATTTCTGCATTAAACATTTTTATATAAGGAGAGCACATTAAAACTTTTGAATGTAACCTAATGTATTGGGAGTTTTTATCGTCTATACATTTACACAAATGCAATATATTCTGCAAAAATAATTAATATATTATCATGGAAGATATGTAGGCCAGAAGATAAGCAGACTACAGAATATTAAATGATTGAGGGCTATCCAAAAATGAATTATGTCGACTAAAACAGAAATGTATAATGAACAGATCTTTTCAATTGAGTTTCTCCACAAAGAACTATACATATTGTGTTTTGCAGAGATGTACCAATACGTTTTGTAGAAATAAGTCATTCAACATGAAAAAAAGCATTGATTAATTATTCAACAACTAAACAAATCATAGAGCTAAGCCACCAATTAGTTGACTAATTGACTAAGAGGAAGTAGACATATGAATTCAGTTCAAAAAGCAAATAAGACTCAACAGTGTGTGTCAAAAGGACTGCCTTACAGCTTACAGTTAGAACTGAATTACAGCCTATTATTAGGTTGTGAACAGTTACAAAATATGTGAATAGAATGAAAAATGTACTCGCAAGTTCTGTTTAAATAGAATAATGCCATTATAAAAACATTTCAATTTATATGCATTTATATAATGCATAATAAGAAAATGAGATACTTTACAGCTACTTATAGGTTTATTATGCTACCACAATATCATTTATTCAAAGCAGCGTAGTTATAAAATAATCTATAATTTGCCTAACCTCCTTTCTGACCTTATTTTAATTCTCTTTTAAAGTGACATCAGCTGAGTTTTATCTGACTTTTGCTTTGTTTGTTTTCATTTCTGCATTATGCACACACTCCTCACTCTTCAGGTTTGGCTGAATAATGTTTTTCTTTCTTGCAAAGTCTGTGTGAGTGATAACAGATCATTCTGCCCTCAGCTTCACACTCTCTCTTGGCCTTGACCATATAAGGGTCCAGAGGAATCTCTCACCAAAACACAGCCAACGCTCACAAGAATGCAGCGACACACACACTGCTCCGAATAAAAAGTTACGAAAAGTAACATTTATCTGTGAACTACTCAACATCAAAACCATATGATACTTGTATCCAAACTAAATACTATACTCTACAATGTTTAGGATATTTCCCACACAAATACCAAAGCATTTACAGGGAGAAGAAATTACTTATCAATACCAAAAGTCTGTTAAAATCCTGAAAGATGGGTAAATGGATAGATACCTGGGAGATTAGGAAGGGTCTGTAGGTGTCCCCCTCTCCCTCCCTCAGGGTGAAGCCCCAGGGTGCACCCCCCCGCAGAGTCACGCAGATGTAGTCCCCGGTGCCCATGCTGCACACAGCTCTTCAGCCGAACCTCCACCGAGAGATCATGGAGCTGTCAGCCGGACCAGCAGCACTTTGCAGAACCTCCTCCAGCACACAGCTGTATAATCCCCATCCTCTGAGTCCTGCAGGAGTCCAGCCCGCTGAGGAGACGTCACTGCGTGAGGACCCGCCTGCTCAAACCGCGTGCAACTGGTTTGTTATGGCGAGGAACCATTCTACGTAACATCCCTGAGCTATGACATCCAAATAAACACTAAATAACTACTACATGATACTTTTAAAAACTATTGTAAGCCTCTTAAAAGGGTACATCCGGTAGTCTTAAAGATAGCAACTTCAGGATGTTATGTATTTATGCGATTCCATCTTATTTAAAAAAAATGTTCCTGCAGTGTCAATAACATAATGATGTACAATTTCTCTTATTAAAACGTGATATAGGCACTATTTTAGAGTTTAGAGAAAATCGAAATATTGTTCGTTGAACTATGAAGCCAACAACATACAAACTGGCAGGGGGCAATGGAATTTTTGTTTTACACATTTTATTTGACCTGTTTTATTCTTTGATCGTAAAATGTTTTTTTAAGAATCACTTACTTTATTTAATTTGTAAAATGTTATGACCACACTTTAAGACTCACTGCACATTTGATTTTTGTGTGTATAGGGTTAATTTCTCTTTCTCAAATCCCCCAACATAGCATCTAAATCCCTGTTCAATATATACCAAGTTTTGTGGACCTATAACTTTAACCATCCTTGGCAAATCAACACTTTTGTCAAACAGATATCATTTTCTTCAACGGTCATTATCCATGTATTTAAAAAGCACTCTATGGTGTATATTAATTATAACAGAGTGAAAAATCTGTAATTATAATCATGAAACCTACAGGTCCACATCCCTTTGCTGACGTGTATGGGTTCCCTCGCTTCCACGCATGCGTACTGCGTCAGACACAAGCTAGCTAAAAACACATCAACCAAAGCAGGAAAATCCATTGTTTACATTTCATAATAAAAGCAGAATGAAACGTTTTCAAACTAATATTTATGCGTACAGAACGTCTAAATTGTTTTATTAAACTTAAAAAGTTAACTAACTAAACTAAAAAGGGTCATTTTTAGAAACGAGTAATTTGTTTGTGTCATTTATATCGTGTACTAACTGTTATACGTTATTAAAGATTTTACTTTGAAATGCGCAACCGGAAACTTGTTTTTGACAGAAGTAGCGAAGCAACGTAGCGACCGGCGCTTTGGTGAGTTTGACGTGGCACTCTGCTTTAACAGAGAACCGTGGAGAGGACTCTGCCCTGTATTCAGGTAAATACTCCAACTACTATATTAACACCTATAAGCCAATACACATGACTTAATATATGTCGTTTGATTATGTATTTGTATGTGTTTGAAATCAATGTGCTTCTTCTGGTGCCAAAGGAACAACTTTGTTGTAATTTCCGCGTAGCTAGCAAGATGTTTCCTATCAACATGTAATCAACACTGTACGAGGTGCTGTGCTCGCATCTTACTCCTTTATATCAGGTGTTTACATGTTTGTCACAGCCAACATTCCACACAGAGGATATCATGTGTACAACTGGGAGGTAATTTAATAAAGCAGGGATGCTCAAATCTTTAGCTATCATACATAACGGTCTTTGACGTGGCAATTATCGGAAGTGGCAGAAAGGATTAACTATTTAACTGAACAATTTACCAAACCCAACTGTTGCTATGTTATGCTTTTTACTTCGGGTAAAACGTCTTAAATTTATATGTTATCATGTAATAAATGGCTTTGATAGAGTTGTCAGTACGCAGCTGTTATTTGTGTTGACCCAGCTGTGCCAAAGTTCACCTTGTATTAGGGAAAAGTTTACAGAACCTCTGCTTTGAAAGACTTTTGTCGTGAAAAGGCTTTTTTAATTTAAGGCCTATAATGGTACTATTTACATGTAAGGAATTAGGCAGATGACAATGGATCGTCGTTCTGACAGGCAAACAGAAAGTCATGCAGTTACTTGAAGATAATTCAAGTAAGGATAGGCTTTTCTTTATCTCTCAATAAGCAATGCCAAAGGTCCATGTTACACGAGTGTTGATGATTACATGAGGTCAAATATCAGTTGTCGTTGGTGTGTCTTTTCAAACATGCCAGAGCTGTGAAAAAGAGAAATAGATGCTTGTGTTACCACAGAAAGTGTCTATTGCAATGTCAGTGGTTCGGAAACAAACTTAATTAAGTCTACTGTTGTCCAAATTAATTAGAAGCACTCAATTACAATATAACCATTAGTTGTGGCCCCTTATAATTCAACCTGACTCTTTTTGACTCAACAGGTTGCCATCTCATTGATCCTGGCATGAGAAGACAGTAACATCCCATCAAGATGAGTCAACAGGGTTATGTTGCTGCACCCCCGTACTCCCAGGCCCAGCCCGGGATGGGGGGCTACCAGGGTGGGTTCGGAGCTGGTCCTGCACAACCCGTCTATGGGCACTATGGGGGTCCGCCTCAGACATTCAACGGTCCACCAACAGGTAGAGCAAAATCACTGTGTGTTTCATGTTTCCTCAAAAGACAAGTCTAATCTTGTTGCTAGCATGATCAGCTTGTTCATTCACAACAAATAGCAACTAGTGCTGTTTCTCCGTAATATACATTTTCAATTATCAAGATGTCAGAGATGTGCTGTTATTTATTGGGATGATATGACTATTTGAAATGATAGGTCTGAAGTGCTTGCTTTGCTGAATATGGCTCATGACATGTCTTAGTCAGCAGCTGACTTCAGGTTTTGTACATTATCTTGAAAGCTCCAAACAGCAAAACAAACACAGTGATATTATACTTTGACTGCTGTGGGCATAAAATAAATAATATGTGTCACAGTTGGATTTATTCTAACAACATGCTGGGTTAAGGTTCCTTGACATTTCTTGAATATATATCCTATTCAGCTGTATGAAGTTATGAACCCTGTTTTTATTGAATTGTTTGTCATGATTTATTCGTCATTGAATGAAAGGGTTTAATGGCCTTTAAATAATATATGTGTTACACCACTGTTAAGGCATGCCTGTTAAGTACCAGCGGCCCAAACAAAGATAGAACACAATTATTGCCTTTTGTTTAAATGTCAGTGCACACTGAGGCAAGCTCTGTGTGACTGAAGTGCAAACAAATCCCTAGATCAGGAACATGCTTTCTTTACAAAAAAGTATCTACTGAATTTCTTCAATTTGGTCATTACTAGCTTTAAACTAACTTTCTCTACCTGAATACTAAACTCTGACCCTCTAACAACCCTGAGCTCGCTCACATATTAATTTTGGTTTTGGTCTGAAATGGATTTACCTCTGATGCAGGCCATATAAATACACTGTACTCACTGTCTGTTTCTCACTGCAGGTATGATGAAGGCACCAGTCTCCTCTGCAGCTGGGATGCCTCCACCTGCAGCGCCCAGTCAGTACAATCCAAATGTCCAGCAGAACGGCGCACATCCACAAAGGTGAGAATCTTCACTAAACAGCAACTGCATGGCTCTCTGAATTGTGCAAACATGTCAGTTGAAGTACAGTACATGAAGCAAGATTTTTTACAAATGATGGATAATAAGAGGTTGAGTTAAAATGTAAAACAGGTTTTAAGCACATCAACAGACTGCACTGTACATGCTGTATATTCATAATAAATGCCCCTGTATTCCTCAGATACCCTCCACCAGCTGCTCCTGCTTCTTATGGACAGCCTTTACAGTCGCAGTACAACAACATGGTCCCCGCGGCCCCCCCTCCAGCTCAGCAGCTCACCAATCAGATGAGTACCATGAACCTGGGCAGCTATGGTAAGTTTAATATGAACTGTTTTACAGATCATACTGCTAAACATCAAGCAAACAACAGCACAGTACTCACCTGATGGGTTTTCTTTTTCCCCATCTTTTTGTAGCCTCGGGTCCTATGCAGAGCCCCCCCCCTCCAACAAACTCTGTTCCCCAGCAGCCTTTCCAACCAGCACCCCCTCCAGCAATGGGCCAGCCGATGATGCCACCAGGACCACAGTCCCCCCACATGTCCCCCCACATGTCTGCTCCACAGTCTCCCCAAGCAAACATGCCAATGGCAGGCCCCCCAATGGCAGGCCCCCCAATGGCCGCACCACCAATGGGAGGCCCCCCCATGTCAGGCATGGGTCGACCCTTTCCCGGCCCCCTTCCTCCAGGCCCCGGAGGTTTCCAGCAGCCTGGTCCTGGACCTGCTGGTCCAACTGGATACCCCCAGCAAGCAGGTACTGTGACACTGTGAAGCAGAAAAGGTTCAGACCATCAAATACATTTTCCAAATGGATTTCACAGCTTGTAATCCCTGAGTCTTTAGTCAAGCCTTACCTAGTCTGTTGAGTGGCTCAAAAACTGACAACTTGTCTCACTTTGACAGTGTTTGCAGTTTTTATTCCATACCTGAGGTTATGATGCAAAAATGATAGACATGATACAAGACAAATGACTCCCAGTTTTTGTAATCTTCCCTGCAACAGGGAGAAATCTCCTGCTTGACATACATAACATAACAACAGCTAATAGATAATAATTAGGTTTAGAAATCTGAATCTGTTTTCATGTGCAGGTCAGTTTGGGGGACACATGGCAGGGCCTCAGCCTGGTATGATGGGGCCTCAGCCTGGTATGATGGGGCCTCAGCCTGGTATGATGGGGTCTCAGCCTGGTATGATGGGGTCTCAGCCTGGTATGATGGGGCCTCAGCCTGGCATGATGGGGCCTCAGCCTGGCATGATGGGGCCTCAGCCTGGTATGATGGGGCCTCAGCCTGGCATGATGGGGCCTCAGCCTGGCATGCCAGGTGCCTTCCCTGGATCAGCAGGCGGACTGGCAGGACCACCACAGAAGAAACTGGACCCTGACTCTATCCCCAGCACCGTGAGTACAACACTAATCCTGGGACTGCATACTTTCACATAACGACATACACACATCACTGAACATTTTCTGACTTGAACCATTAGCTTAATCATTCCTCAAAAGGTTGACATAATCTCTTTTGGTAACATTTATTCACATTTGGGCATATTAATAAACTTGATGCCGATTGCATTATTTTGATTGCCATGTACTTAAGCTGTGACTGTATAGAAATCAGATTATACTGAAAAGCATAGCGTGTCTTCTTTAGACTCAAGTCATCGAGGATGACCAAGTAAAACGAGGGGGACAGGTGTACAACACGAACATCAGAGGACAGGTTCCCCCGCTGGTCACCACTGAGTTCCCCATACAGGACCAAGGTATCTCACAGTTCAACTTCTCCCCACTTACTTCATATTTGTGTGATTTGTTTGTGTATATTTTTGCACATCTGTAGCGCGCTGTGGGTGTGCATCCATGTATTAAAACTGTCTTAATATATATTATTTAAAAAAAGTATTCTAAAATGTCTAAACATCATGTGTACATGTCAGTCATTTTACATTGGTCGTATGTACTTTATAGGCTTTTGCTCAAAATGTAGACTCTTTTGTTAAAGGCAAGTTAAACATGATTAAGTAGCAATCAACACTAAGTAAGTTGTAACAGAAATATGCTGTGTCAAAGTGTCAAAGTCATTGACCTTCTTTCTGCTAATCTCAGGCAACGCCAGCCCCCGGTTCATCCGCTGCACCACCTACTCCCTGCCCTGCACCGCAGACCTGGCCAAACAGTGCCAAGTTCCGCTGGCCGCCATCATCAAACCTTTCGCAAGTGTGCCCAAGAATGAGGCAAGTCAGGTTTAACTTATTCTAAGTCTAAAAAGTTCTAATAATCAACAATACATTGTAACCGGCCATGTATACTGAAAGGTTCAATAGATCCTTGTGGAATTGTTATGAATAAGCACATTTAAGTCCAACTCTTGCAGGAAATGATAAATGCCAATTTTAAGTCATGTTCAGCAAATAGTTAAGGCCTTAATGTATGGTTTGTTTACTCTTTAGTTTTTTACATTTGAAAAAGGATTCAAACTGAGGGAAATGTTCTTGTTCTTTAACAGATGTCTCTGTGCACTACAAAAGTTAAGTTGTCCTGTGAATGACCTCCTTTTGGATCGTATGTGGTCCAAAAATCCCTCTGTAGAAACTCCCCCCCACACTCGCCATGTCTTATTAGCCTTTTTAGGAAATGTTAGCTTTCTCTCATCTGGCCAGAGGCTAATTAGCTCATGTCAGAACTACAGGGAGGGTTTTTGCAACAGGAATCAATCTGAAGTATTTTGCACTCTCAGATTGAAATCCACCTATTCTAACATGGAGCATAATTTATACCAACATTGTCAAACGTAATCAATGTTCTGAGTTTCGATTTCTAACTTTAAAAGGATGCTGTTGTGTTTGGATGCTGTTTTCATTGTTTTGCCATGCAACAGGTTTCTTTTCTGCACGGTAAAAGCACAGAAAATGTAAACACTTACTCTCCAGTCTAAAAATACACATACAAAACTTGCTCCTTTGTCTGCATGTGTTTTTATTATAGTTGGGGGCATTTTTATTCTGCAGGGACCCTTAAGTAAATATTGTTAACAGTCATGAGCAGGGCTGTGTACAGTACTCCATAACAGTGCTGTAGCATTAAACAGCTTCATGCTAGGAATTCACTTTGAACCAACGTTCTCTATATGGTAGCGCAACATGTCTTTTTTGGGTGCCATGGAATCACTCATGCTTCAGACATTGCACAGATGACATGGGGGTAATAGTAAATATTTTATTGCGCATGGGAAACCTTTCAAAAAAGACATAAACCATGATCCTTATGTATTGCTTTTAAGGAAGAGTTTTTAAAACACAATGTCCTTATGTGATGTAGGAACAGCTGTTGAAAACTTAACTATAATGTGTGTGTGTGTGTGTGTGTGTGTGTGTGTGTGTGTGTGTGTGTGTGTGTGTGTGTGTGTGTGTGTGTGTGTGTGTGTGTGTGTGTGTGTGTGTGTGTGTGTGTGTGTGTGTGTGTGTGTGTGAGTGTGTGTGTGTGTGTGTGTGTGTGTGTGTGTGTGTGTGTGTGTGTGTGTGTGTGTGTGTGTAGACTCCTCTGTATGTTGTGAACCATGGTGAGACCGGCCCGATCCGCTGCAATCGATGCAAAGCCTACATGTGTCCCTACATGCAGTTTATTGACGGAGGGCGTCGCTTCCAGTGTGGCTTCTGCAACTGTGTCAATGAAGGTAGAGTACCATGTTAAGAAGACATAAGATTTCATATAATGAGCGAGAAACCAAATCGTATATAGCGCACAGTTCTGTTGTTAATGACATGTCTATGTCTTACTGCAGTGCCAGCCTTCTACTTCCAACATTTGGACCACATGGGCAGGAGGGTAGACTTCTACGAGAGGCCAGAGCTGTCCCTGGGCTCCTACGAGTTTGCAGCCACCCTGGACTACTGCAAGGTAAAGGACTACTACTGCTCTATTCACATCATGCAGAGGGGATATAGTTGATAGAAACACAACTTTGAATGAGATCAAAACCATTCTGTTGTCAGCTGATCTGTCATAACTGGTTACCGTAATTATGATCGCTAGTAAAATGTAAGCACATGTTCCACGTGATGTTTTTAAGGAGCACATGCAGTAACGTCCCAGCGACACACAACATGCTGACAGTGTGGACGAGCACGAGTCAAAAAGACATTGACCATTAAGCAATTTGTAACATCTGCAAGATCAAAATAAGTCAAGAATGAACAACCCCTAAAATGTTGTGTATGGTCATTTACAGCTCCTAGAAATATATATTTTTTAGAAATGTTGGGTCAAACTTTAGAAAAATAAAAGAACAGGCAAAACATGTGCAATCAGTGAATCTTAAAATTGGAGATTGTTACTTGTGTAAAACAGACTTTAGGCATAGAGGATTTAACACTTACAGTTTGATTAAAGATGTCCGGTTTTTATAGAAGTCTGTCCAATACAAGTCAGGACTGCATTACTGATTTTTCTGAAGGACCCTTCATTATTCATAATGAGCTGCTAAAGATAGTTATTGTTGTTTTGCAAACAATAGAAAGACAGCAAAGTCAATCAAGCGCACATCCCTTGAAGGCTGTGGTGGAGAAAAACAGAGTTGAGTACGCTGGCAGAGCTGAGTCACTCCCCTGGCCCACTTTACCTCTGTTTATTCAGACTTATAAACAGGGCGGCTCTTAAACAAAAAGCCTGCAAGGTGATTGTCTTGTCATGGATTGTAACTGTGGAAACATAACAATGTCTTCATGACAATCCCCCTCACACACACACATACACTCATTGCCCTGCATTCAGGACCATCCACCGGTCATGGTCTCCTCACAGTTACTGCAAGGTATAAACAAGCACCAACGGAAACCAAATGCCTGGGACTTACAGCCAATAAAGGGGGAAAGCATGAGGGTAGGCCCCAGGTTCTGATATGGTACGATTTAAGACTTTAAATTAGAAAATATGGAACTAAAACAAGAAATAATTTTCAGGAGCTTAACTTTTCACATTTCCTATTTGGAAAGCAGGTATGTTAAGCTGCATGTTTGTCAAGTTTGCATGGATTTTATAATAGCTACTAATTCTTTACTCCTGTTGCTTTCTCCTGCAGAACAACAAGGTGCAAAATCCTCCTGCCTACCTCTTCATGATCGATGTGTCCTATAACAACGTTAAGAGTGGACTAGTCAAACTGATATGTGATGAGCTGAAGACTCTGCTGGACAATCTGCCATGGTACACACACACACACACACACACACACACACACACACACACACACACACACACACACACACACTTATTATCTGCTGCATTAGTTGCTATGCATCGTGTTGAGCTGAGTGCAACAGACTACAATTCACTTCCAACATATGCCTTGACAAAAAGAAAATTCCCTCAAGTCATAAACACCAAGCAAACTATTTGTTCTCGTCTGCTGAATATTCTTGCATGAAGTTCAGCAGATGGTGAGTATCGGTTGAACGGGTGCCAAGGCTGCCAACAATGGAAAATATTACAGTGCAGCCTTTACTCTATGTGTAGAGGCAACTGAGAGAAAAACTTTCTAGTGTTCCATCTTTAAGGTCAGATTTGAACAGTTTTCTGTCCTTTGTTTATGACTTTAGAACATAACATGATCCTGTCAGCCAGGATAATCTTCCTTAGTTCTGTAAAAAAAAAACACAGGTGGGGAAAAAAACTTTTGGCAGACAATTTCTCTTAGACAGAACTTAGGAAGATTATCTTGGCAAAAAAAAAAATTCCCACCTGTTTGTGAGTCAAACACAGGAGAGAAAACTATAGAGAACAGATTTGAAAATGGATTACTCGAATATTTTTCATTCTTACATCTTTTAAAGCAAAACAAGAAGCTTTGTTCTTCAGAAAACTTCACCTGGTGACTCCTAAAATAACTAGAAAACCTTCTTTCCTCACTCCTTCATTTGTGCCAGCAGCCATTTATCCACATTATTCTGCTGCCATGACATCATCCTGAAACACTTTAGTATAAGTGTACTGCAGAATAAACCTTTTCAACTGTTTAAAGCTGTACTTTTTTTTTTACAGACACTAAATTAATGCATTTGGACAGACTGCATTTTTATAAAGTTCAGTGGTTCTGAAGAATTTCCAAATACAGATGTAATTCTCTCAAGATAACGCTAGATCCTTGCTTGAGTAAAGACAGGTTTCTCATAAATCATCTCAGGTATGTTTCAGTAACATTTGAGAAAGAAGGAAATACGCAAATCCAATCTGAATCAGTTATTTCTAACTACACCTTTGACTAATATTCATATAGAAAATGTAGGTTCAGTGGCATATTACCCTAAAAGGGTTTCATCTTTAATCATATTACACGTTCCTTAGTGTTAAAGTACGAGGGTGATGAACATATTTGGTCAAAGTTGGTGTTCTGTTGAATATGAGGAGGTTTATCTCTTACATACGAATATACAAAGTCCCGAGAGCATTTATTCAGTGAGACTTACCTGAAAGCTGACTGAAGTTCTTCTTCTCCCCCTCCAGTGAGGACGGCTCGGAGAGCTCCACCATTAAGGTGGGCTTCGTCACCTACAACAAGGTGCTCCACTTCTACAACGTGAAGAGTGCTCTGGTCCAGCCGCAGATGATGGTGGTGTCGGACACAGCGGAGATGTTCGTCCCCCTGCTCGACGGATTCCTCGTCAACTATCAGGACTCCAGAGCCGTTATCTACAAGTAAGAAACATGTTATTTATTTAAAGGGGACCTATCATGCAAAATGCACTTTTCTACATCTTTTATACATGAATGTGTCCCCGGTGTGTCAGGGAACTCACCAAGTATCAGAAAACACAACCCTCTCTCTTTTCCTCCATACCCAAACCTCTAAAAACGGGGCTGCAACGGAGCTGATTATTATTTGAATTTTCCTGACGTCAGAAAAGGGGTGCTCCGCCTATATGGGCACCTCTCCACCTATCAGGGGAATGGGGGGTTGGGCCACGAACGTGTCCGTTTCACACGAGACCTCTCGAAAGCGCTGGAGACGCTGTAGTACATATGCCAGGTCTGTAGGTGGCGCTGTAGTCACAGAATCAGCCCTTGCAAAAACAGGGCTGGAATAGAGCAAATAGAACGAAATGAGGCATGGCTAAAATGCAGGATCTGTTTGGTATTTTGAAAAAAAAACTTCACAGACATGTTTGATATAGGTATGGCCCTACAATATATGTTTCAAATATAGCATGATAGGTCCACTTTAAGGAAGAACGTTTTTATCTGGGAGAGAAACAGGCAGTTGTATGAAGTTTAATTCAGCAAAGAAAAGTTGTTTTTATTATGGAGATTAACTAATCTTTTTGAAAGAGAAACAATGCATGAGAAAAACAAAATACTGATTCATTGTTAAGCTTTTAACTTACATTTCAACCAAACTTGTGAAGGTGTTTAACATAATCCTCTCCTCTCCTCTAGCCTCCTGGATCAGATCCCTGATATGTTTGCAGACTCCAACGAGAGTGAGACAGTCTTTGTTCCCGTCATCCAGGCCGGCGTGGAGGCATTTAAGGTCAGCACAGTGTGACAGCTGTCAACATGAAGTGCAGACTCTGTAGCTTTGATTGAAGAATATTGTTCTAATTACTTGTTAAAAATGTAGTCAGTGGCCTAATCCAAGTGTCACATTATTGAAGTTACTTATTATGTTTAGTGGAGCAGACATTTGAATTGCATTCCCTACGGCCATCTTTTCATGCTGAAGGAACAATCTTGATGAACTAGAAAACGTTCTGCTTTACAGACAAAATAACTGAACATTTCCAATCAGTGAAAGCATTACTAATCACTAACATTTGTGTTGTAATACCGGATGTTTGCATGACAGTTTTATCATTCCTTATTTCATAATTGTAATCCTGCTAATTATCAGTATATGTAACAGTTCCCGGATTTAGCTTTTTTTTTCTGTATCTGTAACACGATACTGTTTTCTGATTCTGTTACTGCCCCAAGCCTGCTGATCTTCAGGAAGTGACAGTCCAAAGGTCTTAAGCACAGTTGGGAGCTTCCTATCTGATTTGATTGGCAACAGTGTTTTTCCATGTAACACATTGATCCCTTCATTTTTGTTCATTGTTAATCACTATACTAATGGGTTCAAATAACATGTAGTGGAGCCAAAACACACATCTCAGTGATCCAAACTGAATAAGCATGGCAGATTGTTTGAATGTTTCTGATATGTTTTTGTTTACTTTAAAGCTAACACACTTTCCCAGTAATATGAGGTCAGTGTTTGGCGCACAGAGAAGGAAAAGTTCACACACAGCTTTTAATTGGAAGCAGTTGTGGCAACAGCAAAGACACTGTGGCCTATTTATTTATCTGGGTGCTGCTTTAACTTTTCGTTAAAGTGTATTATTATCAAGGGGGAATCTAATCCTCTGCAGGAGTGTGACCACATGATAAAGATATGAGCTGCACGCCTTCATGTGATCTTCTTTTAAAGACATTTCTTCTCTCCTGCAGGCAGCAGAGTGCAGCGGGAAGCTCTTCATCTTCCACTCCTCCATGCCCACCGCCGAGGCTCCGGGCAAACTGAAGAACAGGGACGACAAGAAGCTGGTGAACACCGACAAAGAGAAAGTAATGAGCTTTTTGTAATCATATCTAAAGTTTATTTTGAACTCCACATACAGATTGCTGGAGTCAGTTCGATGTTATCTTTGAGCTTGAGATTGGAAAGGGAAAGTGCTGACTTACTGTTTACTCCATAGACGTTGTTCCAGCCTCAGAAAGGAGTGTATGAGCAGCTGTCGAAGGAGTGTGTGGCGCAGGGCTGCTGTGTGGACCTCTTTCTCTTCCCCAGTCAGTACGTGGACGTGGCCACCATGGCTGACGTGCCCTCACACACCGGAGGCTCTATCTACAAGTACAACAACTTCCAGGTACAACATTCAGCATTGAAAACACACACACAGATAAAACATGCAAGACACACAGAAGGATATGGACTACTGTCATTCTCTAAGAATCATTTAAACTTTCCTTTAACGCTGGAACTTTATGAACTTACTGTAGGTTTAAAAACAAACATAGAAAATCTACAGACTCAAGCAATTTGACGCCTGCTTCAATTCACATAATAACTTCAGAGTCTATTATAGAGCTGTCCCATAGGAATGCTGCATCAAGCGTGGGAAATTACTCCAAACTGTACACACACAGCACATACAAAGGCAGTACAGTGGTGTAAAGTAACTACACACATATATACCTTACTTTAATATTTTTCATTTCATGCTGCTATATACTTCTACACCATGTAAATCAACTAATACCTTTTCCATGTATTATGATGGGTTAAGCATTCAGTCAATCATCTAAATGACATTTCTGTGACCCAGGTTTTGTGAATATACTGCCATCTGCTGGTTAAAGTGTATCCACATGTAATATGTTATGCTTATGATCTGCTTATGTTGTCAGGTGGAGACGGATGGGGAGCATTTCCTGACAGACCTGAGGAAAGACGTGCAGAAGAGCATCGGCTTTGACGCCATCATGCGTGTTCGCACCAGCACTGGTGAGCAGCGTATACCACTTTGCATTTGTACCAGAGTACTCAGTAACTCTCAGTAATCTACATCTACTGTACGTGTGCGTTTCCTCAGGGTTCAGAGCCACAGAGTTCTTCGGAGCGATCCATATGAACAACACCACAGACATCGAGATGGCGGCGGTGGATTGTGACAAGGCTCTGACCGTAGAGTTCAAACACGACGACACACTCAGCGAGGAGACCGGAGCACAAATGCAGGTGTGTGTCTTTTTCTAGAATGATCACACGTTTGAAGTTACATCTCAAAAGGTTTAGTTATATCTAATGTTTGGACTGTGTTTCCCAGTGTGCATTGCTGTACACCACCATCAACGGACAACGACGTCTCCGCATCCACAACCTCAGTCTGAACTGCAGCTTGCAACTGTCAGAGCTGTACAAGAGCTGCGAGACGGACTCTCTCATCAACTTCTTTGCCAAATCAGGTTTCTGGACACCTTTAAGAACTTTACTTTAAAGGTTACACTTTCACAGATAGTTTAGCCTTATGCAGAAAAACCTATCCCTCATGATATACAAGCAGATTCATTCTTTATCACACAGTGCTGATGTAATGCAGTATCATCCTCTCTGACCTTTGTTGAGTTTACCCCATGCATCACTTGATAATCTACTAAAACTCCTGGATTTGAAGAGGGATGAGTTTTGGAAATAAGGAGCACATGTTTCACATAAAGCACAGCTGACACTGAGCCGCTTTAAGTACGGCCGTATTATTCCTGACCTTCAGCTGCCTCCTCTCCTCCGTTACACTCCCCTAGTTATCCTCGTTGCTATCTGGTCCTTTCACTAACCTCTTTTTCTCCCGCACTCAGCCTGCCGTGCCATACTGAACCAGCCGCTGAAGAACGTGCGGGAGATCCTGGTGAACCAGACGGCCCACATGCTGTCCTGCTACAGGAAGAACTGCGCCACCCCCTCAGCTGCCAGCCAGGTCAGAGCCGCAGCGCCCCTGGGAGGAAATGTGTTCAATTTAGGATCCAAAGAGGTACTTATGTGGTACAATACATGTTGTGTCAGAAATTAATCAGAGTTTCTCCACATGCAGCTGATCCTGCCTGACGCCATGAAGGTGTTCCCGGTCTACATGAACAGCCTGATGAAGAGCGCTCCTCTGGTTGGCAGCACGGAGCTCTCCACCGACGACCGCGCCCACCAGAGGCTCTCCATCATGGCCATGGGGGTGGAGGACACACAGCTGCTGCTCTACCCACGCCTCACCCCACTGGTGAGGGACACAAACACACGTTAGATTAAGCTTACACTTCATCCTAAAAAAAACAGCAATTCAACCATGAGGATATAAACTCAAGAGATCTATCAATAGCCATCAATACATTTAATGTCATCTAATAAACCTGTGTTTTCAGCACAACCTGGACCTGGGCAGCGAGGCTCTTCCCGCTCCGGTGCGATGCTCCGAGGAGCGCCTCTCGGAATCCGGCATGTTCCTGCTGGAGAACGGACAATCCATGTTCCTGTGGCTGGGCCAGGGCAGCCCTCCAGACATCGTGCAGAGCCTCTTCAACGTGCCCTCCCTGGCACACCTGCAGGGAAACATGGTCAGAGCTCATTTAACATCAACATATAGGAAGAAACTAATGAAATGGCTTCAGTGTTTCCCACAGATCTGAAATATACTTGTGGTGGTAGCCGAGAACGGGGGGTGGGGGAGCACGCTCATGAACTATTCGCCGGAGCGGACCCATCACGCGATAGCAGAGTGAACAGGTACAGGCAGGGTAGTTAATCGATCGCAGATGGCGTCGTGCTCGCGGACGGATACAAAAAATGAAAACCTAAATGGGTCGCGAAATATACTTTGGCGGACGTTGATATACCTGGGCGGCCCGCCCAAGTAAAGCCTATGTGTGGGAAACCCTGGGCATGTTTTAGATGTTAGGGGAGACATTTTTTTAAATGTTGTGGTGTCTGGAGAATGTGATGATGCCTCCACATTACAAGTTTGCATTTAAATGATTCAATAATCTACAAAGATTGAAATCATAACATTTCAACATTTGAAACAATATGATTTATATTAAGCACCCAAGTAGTTGATCAACTATACACATTTTTCTAAAAATAGCCAACAATATTTGTATTGATAACGTATACCTTACACAAAGTTTAAAGAAGGACATTCATTTTGAAGTTAGTAAGAAAGGAAGAAAAAATGTTTCAAAGGTGGAAGACGTTTTTTGTTTTAAAAAAAAAAAGCAACATTTTTTTATTAATCTGTTTGCTTCTCATCCTCATATGAAAACACCTCTATCCATTTTCCTGGACACCCTCAATTATTATACATGTGTTGACTTATTCAACTTTATAAAAGTCACTTAAGTAACCTTATTGTCCTTCCTCAGAGTGCTCTGCCAGAGCTGGACAACCCGCTGTCCGCAAAGGTCCGCTCCATCATCAGCGGCCTGATGGAGAAGAGGCCGAACTCCATGAAGGTAATATACTCAATATGCTCCTGAACACCTGATAAATCATGCATACCTCTTCTTTGAGTATATTTTGTAAGCTAAGAAAATGTAAGCAAATGAAAGCCAGCTGTTATTGATCCGTGTCTCCCTCCAGTGGAAATAGTGCCCTTTAATTATATATAATGTGTTTTCATGTTGTAATAAAAGTTCTCAAGAATGCTAATCCTATTATTTTAGAAATAGACAGACTAAACAAGATTAAAACAATCAAGAGGTCATGTTTTTTTAAATTTAAAACATGTGTGAGTGGCTGAGTACCTTTTTTAAAGCATGAGGATCAAAGTGCACATGAACCACAGCTATTCAAATGCTAAATGTTTCCCCTCTCAGCTGCAGATCGTGCGGCAGAAGGACAAACCCGAGATGTTGTTCCGTCAGTTCCTGGTGGAGGATAAGAGTCTGCACGGAGGAGCCTCCTACATGGACTTCCTGTGCTACGTCCACCGAGAGATCAGACTGCTGCTCACTTAACACCCCCGTCTGCCGGACACACACACACCTCACAGGGTCAGTTCATAAAGGACGGTTTTACAAAGACAGAGGAAGACACCCGAGCCAGCTAGAGCCAAAGCTGCCTTTCCAACGTAGTGTCCTTAAAGTATGACCTTCAAATAACCACTCGTCACTTGAGGATCTACGATACACAGCACAGCCAGTGACACTTGTTGTGATGGAGTGTGGAGATCAGAGCTTTGGCGTTAAGCAATACAGCATTTATCTCCACTGTTTCACATTTCACTTTGTAGATTTACAGGGTCAGGACGAGGGGTTATTTTGAGGCAATACTGCTCACTTTGAAACTCGCCAGTCTCTGTTTTACGTGACTTTCTCCCATATAAAGACTGAATATGTAACCGTTTTTAAATCTTGTTCTCTTTTTTAAATATAAATACATGCTCAAAGAAATTTTACAATATTTAAAACGTCTTATAGAGGCTTCTACATGTTTTCACACTTACATAGTGTCCTAGTGTCAATGTGCTAAGTAAACATACACGAAAAATGTTCTAATTTAAACACAAACGCTGCTGATGAATGATTCCTGTCATTACACACGCCTTCCCTTTGAAACATTTTTGACCATTTAAAACAAAGACCTGATCCTCTCAATGTGCAGCGATGCAGAAAAAACATTTTGTTTCGTGTTCTGAGGTTAGAATGAACACAGCTGTCGCTCTGCAGAGAGAACATCGTTGGTCCTGAGGAAAAACAAAAAAAGCTTATTTTTGAGTCAGAACTTGAACAAAAAAAAAGGATGCTTAACGGAAAGGATTGCCAAAGGTTTAGGGACCAAAGAATACAACTGTCACAACTATATAACGAAAGGTAAAGCTCTGCTCTCTTGTTGGAGGGATTTACTTTGAGGATACTTTTCAGATACCTCCGAAAATTCGAACATTACATGAAAACGGTGCCATATAATAAATCTGACTTGTGTCAAAATTGTCAGGACAATAAAGTTAAGTTACTTTCCGACATGGCTACAACGAATGATGATTTACATTAATTCATCTGCTGATTATTTTTAAAATAAATTATTATAAAATGTCAGAAAATACTGAAAAATGTCCAATCCAGTTCCTCAAAACAAGGTATTTAAAGACATTACCTTGGACTTTGTCAGTCGGTTTAATATATATAAAACAACTATCAGTTCATCTCCATATTCAGAGGCAGAAAACTGCATTTTTCTATATTTTTGAATGAAAACAACAAACGATTAGAGGTTTATAGTAATAGTTTGTGTTTATTTCTCTGTCAAATGTCTAATCGCTGCAGCTCTAATGTCAGATCAGCATCTTTTTTCTCAGCCCTTATGTTTAAAAAAAAAAAGCCTAAATTCAGTAAAATATTTGTACACCTGTCTGTTGTAATGATTTGTAACATTTCTGGTACAGCATTAGCATCTTTCTGTTTTGCATTGATTGTTTTTATAGAGGTAATCGCCTCTGTGTAATTCATGTGCATTTGATAAATATTCCTGCCATTTTGTTTATGTGTGGCCTACAAAGTCTTTTTGTACATGAAATACTTTCAAAATGTAACCATCTGCCTTAAGTTGCTATAATAATATTTGTTAAAACATGTTGAATATATAAATATATATGTGTCCTCGAGGTCTATGGCTGATTTCAATCTCTTTGGTTTGTATGCAAACTTATCTCAGGTAATTGAGTACCTTAATATTTGGAGTTGGACGAAGTGATTTTAATAACTGGAAAGATGGACGGTTGTTGTTTTGAGTTGATTTTTGGAACTTCATGGGCTTTGGGTGCCATGTGTATTTTATTCCAGACCCACAACCAATTTTGTCCGAATAAATTCTTGACATATCAGCTCCGCTTTCTTTTGTGCCTTCTACAGTCCGGGAAATTAACAGAATTTATATTTGACCACAAACCTTCTGAAGTATACGTAGTTTCCAAAGAAAATATGTTCAATATTAAAATTTTAAAGTTAGTTAAAAATAGCTACATACATTTTTCACTTCGAGAGAGAAATTTCCCACACAGAATTCAAGATCCAGTGTGTGTGTTGAGCTCTTTCTACCATGAGGGGGCGCCAGATCACTATTCATGCATTTTGATCAACACTCTGATCTGTTTATGATGGACAATAAAATTATTTTGACCATTATGGTGAACAGAATCTGGTTTCTCATGTAATATGAGATGTTAAAATATATATCTTGTAACTCTTGCAAACGTGGAACTTCAATTGTTTTAAAATCTAAAAGTAAAATCCGTTGTTAGGTACATTCTGCCAACACGGAATAATTGTTTTAAATATATTTATATAAAAATTACCCAAAATGTGAATCACATAATTTAATATCTAAAAATAATGTGTACAGTTGACAGTACTTTAAATCCTCCTCCTAATATGTTTACCATATATTCCAATCTTATAATGGCACACAAATTGGTTTACGCAACATGTTCTATTCTTCGAAGTGTATTAAGGAACTTAACAGAAATGTGAAGGTTTGAGGTTTATAGTTTATTTTTTCACTTTCGTCAGAGATAACTGACTATGGATATTATTTACAGAAGAAATGTAGAAACTCTTTATTATTTTCAGAAAGAAAATATCTACATATTGTAGATATTTGTTGTGTAATGTTCAAACAAACATTTGTTTCCTCTCCATTTTATCACTTACTTTTCATAACCAGATCTCTGATTTGTCAACCAAACAGAAACATTTTTACAAACAGTAAGGCACACAAACACAAATCAAGGAACAGCATGGCATTTTGTTGATGGAAATGTACACGTGATGTCCAATAACATGAGTAAAAAGAACACAAGTCCAACATGCCTCGCTGAGCAAATGTAATGTTTGTCACATACTGTTTGAACACTTTGAATAAAAAAAAAACAACTTCCGGCTGATTTTACAGACACTTCCTGTATCCAAATCATTGTGAAAAATGAAGAAACACTCAATAATTTACTTAAATGATGTCCTCTCTTCATTCAGTAGTTTCTAACAAGCAACAGGAAGTCAGTAAGAGACTTTTACCCAGCATGCTTTGTGTTTGCTCACATGCTTTAATCAGAGGAAGCAGAAAGTGATCACCTGCACTTTGACGAGGAGGAAACACACACAAACATGAGTATAATACACAGAACCCCTCTTCTTTTTAAAAACAGTGAATTATGAATAAGTCCTGAAATCCATCCCCAGAGCAAACGTTCATTTAATAATATACAACCAAACAATCTTTTGTACAATAATACCTTAATATAAATAACCTGCTTTAAACAGTGGATAAAATAAAAACAAGTTGATGTAGACTGTTGCTTTAGAGGGAATATCCGTACACTGGGTTAAATGAAACACACTGAAAGCAGCATTTATGTAATGACGGAAGATGTCGTTGTCTAAAGTTAAACTGGCGGTAAATATAGTACCTGTGTGCTTCTGTCGACCAACCATCAGTCGCAAGGTTTGTGACATCAATACAATCCTTGTGTTGTCTCATTCTAGTTGGCAAGTAAACATGAACCGTTGAAAAGTTTCTCATAGAGTTCTTATCTAATGCTTTATCTATAATATTTACAATTTAAAATAGTACAATGGATGTTGTTTTCTTATTTAAATGTAAAAAGACGATTATTCACTAAGTCGGGTGAGAACACTCTGGAAAGGAGAGCCAGTCAAGAGATCATTTGTTCAGGTGTTTGTATTGATGCTATAAAAGTAGAGCTGCAACAGTTAGTTGATTGACAACAAAATTATTATCAACTATTTTGATATTTTACTAATTGTTAAGGTCATTTTTCGTGCGTTTTTCAGTCTTCAAGGACATGGACTTTAAGCTAATATTTTTTTTATATTTTAAAGACCAAATCATCGTTAGTTGCAGCCTTAGTAAAAAGTCACAGTGATTTCACTTGGCAGTAAATGAAACAAGTCAAGGCTGCAGCAGAAAGAAGCCTCCTCTTCATCACAGATCTCTCCCCGGGTGATTATAATGTCAGAGACACTCCAGAGACTATTGGAGGCAAACCAACCTTGAAGTAAAGTACTTTCTACTTTCCTTTCAATTCGTGTTTATGTAACAAAGTTTATGAAAAATAAAATGTGCAAAAGGCAGCCCGTTCCAGAGTGTCCGCACCATATCGCCTCCTCCTCACAGCAATATGAATGAACAATATCATATCTTTCATCAGAGGTCTGCATAGCACACTGTACACAGTTAGAGTCCGAGTCAAGGTGACGTTCTCCTCCAAAGCCTCCACCGCCCCCGCCAGCCAAGAGTTAAAGAACGTTTTCAAAGAGGTGCATCGATCGCATGATGTTCTCATCCTGCACACAGAGAGGAAACACAGTGAGGAGAAAAGCAAAGAGAGACACCAGGAGAGAGACAGAAAGGAGTCAGGACGTCCAGCTTACGTTTTGGCAGCAGTCGATGAACTCGTCGATGGTTACCACCCCGTCTTTGTTCTTATCCATCTTCTGTTAAAGAGGAGGAGAGAGGAGAGGTGAGAGGAGGTCTCTTTACTGTGATCGATTCAATTAAGGTCCCACAAGGTTCAATCCTGGGACCATTGCTATTTTCGCTCTATATAAATGATTTACCATCTGTATGTCCTGACACAAACATCCAAATGTATGCAGATGACACTGTAATATATGTACATGGAAGCAATATGACACAAGTGGCTAATGAACTGACAAACACCATGTTCATGTAACAACTTGGTTGGAACAATGCTGTTTGCAACTAAATATTTGTAAAACAGTATGCATCTTCTTCACCAAAACAAAGTCCTCTTGTGTTGCGCCAGATGTTTTTGTGTCAGGGGAGAGGCTACAGGTGGTGTCACAATACAAATACCTTGGAGTCATGATTGATTCAACACTCAATTTCAAGGCTCAGGTTAAAAAAATATGTAATAGGGTCAAATTCAGTCTGTCGAATTTTAGGTTTACCAGAGATTACATGTCAATTGAGGCATCTCTGATGTACACACACTCTATGGTTCTCTCACACATCACCTACTGTTTAACTACCTGGNGTGTTGGATAGTCGGACGAGTGGTCCGTCTAGACGTTACACTACATACCCTGAAAATTTCCCGGGACGAAGTACGAAATGGCCTAATGAAATGGGCAGGGGAACACACAATACTTCAAAAATACGTACATTTGGCGACGTCTCAGTGTTTGGGAGTTTCATGTGGGACATCGCTCATTTGAGATTGTGTCTTTTATGGACAAGTTAACAGGGTTTGCGGAGCAACCACTAAAGAGTAGAAGGTAACAAACGAAGGACCCCAAGACACTGCACCTTGGTGGTTTTAGTGTTGTTATACTGGCCTAAGCCGGGTTTGCCTGGTTTAGGCGCCTCGTGGAGGTGTGGGTCCTGGGAACCGTTTTGATTGTCCCTCAGGGTAACTGACGATCTCGAGGGACGTTACGACGGGAAAACCTCATTAAACATGCAAATGCTTGCCTTTTTTACAAGATTGTCAACGGCCTTACCTCACCTCCTCTTAGACAGTTTATTAATATACGCACAACTGCAACTAGGGTAACAATAGGTGCAGCGAGAGGAGATTGCATTATTCCACTCAGAAAAAGTTCTTTCAGTCAGTCTTCATTTTCTGTTAAAGCTGCTCAGCAATGGAACTCAATCCCACCTCCAATCAGAGACCAGACCACATTCACTTTATTTAAATCAAAGCTCAAAAATATGGTTAGTGGGGAATCAGCTCTGCCGGCACTGACCCAATCTTCTGCTCCTTACAACCCACTGCCTGTGTTTAACATGTTCTTTTGTTTT